ATATGACAATTACTGCAATTTCAGGCTGTCTGAACCTCACTCATCCCACACTCCTCAGCTTGACTTGTATCACAATGCTTTGGCTTTGACTACCATTCATTTGTGGTGGATATTTACACGCCATTGGTAGTTTAACCCAATGTGAGGGATGTAGGAGAGGGGCCTCTAATTTCTGTTCCTTCCTCCAAAGATTACAGACCTTGCGGAGACCAGGTGTACAGTTCAGACCAAAGATTAGCGCCCCATCGCCCTTCCCTCTCATCTTCGACCACAAAAAACGACTTGCTCGTGCACCGTACTCTGCCTCGGTGAGGGTGCGTAGATTACATTTTCAGGGCAGGGAAGCTTCTCTTTACTGTGCATTAAAATAGGCACACAAGCACTTAACCCAGTTCCAACAGTCTCTCCATCTGCTCAGACACGCAGCGTTCAAGAGAGAGAACAGTCAGCCAATTTTATTGATTCAAAGGAGCGGCTCCCACCTTTCCCCTTCCTGGTGTGGAATGCACACCTGGAGGTGTTTGCTGAGTGGCTCTAGTAATCCATATAACAATGCAAGCTGACATCTGGTGCCATCAGGAGCACTCGAGGCAGTTTGCTCTGACAGGCGCTGCATTGTCTCTACAGATCAGTGTGGCTGTGATGCTGTTGACCTCTTTATTGTGACATTTATCTTTCATCCTTTATTTTTTTATTACTGACAGCACAATAAAGTCCACATCTAAGATGATACGTCTTTTTAAAATTGACAGAAAACGGGATAAAATTATGGAACTGATGTGTCAAAAACAATTATATTTCCCTCAAATCAAAACTTTTGCAAAGACACCACGACATAAAGCACAGGTAAAGCGCAGTTGTCTAGACTTTGTTGACGTGGCAGGCCAGTTGAGTTGCATTGCTCTCGGTTGCCCTCACAGTGCACACACGGGAGGGAGATGGGTGCAGATAAAACAACTGGGTTACGCCCCACCGAGGAATTGTGATGCCTGGGGGGCTGGGAAACTTTCTGCTTGGCTAGCCTTAATATTGTGAATCTCCTCAGTCAACAAAGCAGTGCGTTTGATGGAACATGTCAGGTTCCTCCATGACTTGGGGGCTGGTCTTCTCCTCTGGTTAGACAGCTGTCAGTCGGTCAGAGCCGAGAGAACCAGAGACTCCTCCATGTGTTGTTGGAGACTTCTGATCAGGAGAGCAGAGCGAGGTGAGTTTGAAAAAAACAATTGAAAAGTTTTAGCTGGGATTAATTTGGATTCTGTGTCGGGCTGTTGAGTCTACTTGTGTTAAGTAATCTTTGGGACAGTGTTCAGTCTTGGCATGTGTGTTCATTGTTCTAAGAAATAACCTTTTTTCTTTAATGGAGAAGTTGAGCAGCTGCACAGTATTTTATGTAGGGGATGGCAGTCATTGCTGACCGTGTATGTGACGATGTTGAAATATTCAAAAGGGATTTAAAATATATTAAATCAGAAGTCATGCTTAGCTGCTAATGAGGGTATTGCTGGCCCTTTGGGTTAGTTTGATAACCAGTCATATGACCACATGAATCGATAGAAATGTAATAGTTTCAAACGTCTTCTGACCTGCCATCTACTCTATACACTACTCTATTGTTAATATAATAGTGATATTTAAAAGAAATACAGGATACAGCCAAGTTACATGCTTTATATGACATAGTAAGTCAGGCTGCAGTGTGTAGATGATGTGTGTATTACATTCTTGTTGAAACAGATTTACGGGTGCGTGGGTGCTCATGCAAGTCATCAAGGATAGTTCAATCTAACATCAGTGTGTTTAATAAAAGAAGGATTTTGTTCACGGTCTGTTCTTCAGCCCGACAGCACAGATCAGATTTGATTTCCTGCAATTTGACATCAAAGAGGAAGAAAGCTTGCATTTCTATAGTTTTATAACAACAATTACTTATTTAAACATATAAAACTTGTTCTTTAAATAAAGAAGGTGACTCATACTGTACTGTATGTCCACAGTACATATTGCAGTGTATACTTGGGATGGACTGAGCTTGTCCTCTCCTTGACTCCTTCATTTCAACTGTGGGAGCCGCTGCTGTAACTCGACCTTGCCTCCTCCAGCCACCTGTGCTCGCGTGCTCAGAGAAAACACTGGCTTTTGTGTTGGAGTGAGACGTCCACACAGCAGGGGGGCTAAGGTACATTAGGCGGCTATGACAGGTGGCATACTCTTCCGGTGCTTCCTCGCAGTAAAGAGCATTGATATGGTCAGGCTGTTGGTGGAACAGCTGCACCCCACTGCTGTGAAGGTGGGGGGGGGGGGGGGGGGGGGATCTCTCTCCTGACAAAGACATCAGAAAAAGACAGGATCTTTAAATTTAATTTAAGACACATTTCTTTTGTCAGTGCAATGTATGCATGCCTCTATACAGATCTAGGGTCTCTCTTTGCATGGCAGTGGGAGGCTGGGGGTTAAGGTGTCGTGTGGGTGTTTCTGTTTGTGTTGCTGTGTGCAATTGTGTAGAGAGGTAACCAATCTGAATCCCGGAGCCTAAAGTGTGCCACAGCACCACTGTGGTCGTCTGTGAGAGGAGGAACGGTCTAGTCAGGGCCCCCAGTTACTGTTTTTACCCGCCTGCTGGGACGACTGGAGAAGGGGCAGAGGGGACAGTAGCTCAGCCTCTGTGAACCTGGATGGTGATGTGATGTGAGTTCCCATGGCTGTGTGAGGCAGTCAGAGGGAGAGTGATGACTCGTTAACTCTGTCCTACGTATGGACTCAGCTGCTTTACAGTCTGACCTGTAAGTATAAAACTTCTTACAAAAGGTTTTTCTTTTCATTTTGTATGCAGGTGCCCACAGTTCCTCTGTCTTATTTACAGGTTCATCTGTGACTTTCTGCTTTATCCTTTTAGAAGAATTGGATATGGGAATTGTTGGAATTGTGTAATAATGGTTAGTTATTGCTGTTGGTCAGACAAAACAAGACACATATGTCAATTTAAATGACTCTATAATGCTGTGATTACTGACAACATATTGCCACAACTGTCCCAGTTTCAAATATCCTGCTAGAGTCTAAAAGGAAGAGAAGGGGTGACGTTTGAGGTTTTTATAACAGCTGTTGTTGGGTGGCCTGTGTGGCACTGTGAGGTTGGTACGAAGTGAGGTAGAACCAAGGTGTCACATTCCACAGTTTGGTGTGTGTGTGTGTGTGTGTGTGTGTGTGTGTGTGTGTGTGTGTGTGTGTGTGTGTGTGTGTGTGTGTGTGTGTGTGTGTTCATCACAAATGACCACCCATCTACTCACAACTGAGCATGCACTTGATCTAATCTTAGTGAAATTTGAAATATAGTTAAATGTCAACTGAATCCCTGTCTATTCTGGCTAAAGTTTGGTTGAAAGTGTGTGTGTGTGTGTGTGTGCATCTGAAATGGAGTGCAAAATCTTTCAATCTTAGTCCAAACAAACAACTACTGGGTCCATCCTCCCCCCTTAAATCTGTCTCGTATTTTTATCTGTAGAGTTACGGTAAGATATGACGATGAAAAATGATGAAACTGCAGCTCTCCTGTCATCTGACTAATTTATTCCCCTGATTGCTTTATCAGATGGCATACCACCCCTGGGACCGCCCTATCTGCTTTTAGAGATCACATAAATATTGTTTACCAGCAGTCTGCGTAAGCAAGGCTATTTTAAACCTTGTGGCTGCTCATTGAAAAACAACAAGAAAAGTTAAATTGTTGTAGTTGTACAAACATATTAATTTAAAAGGAGCTGAGGTTTTACTGTCCACAACTTTACTGCTGCCTTGATTTGAATCAGAACATGCAGTAGATACGAGCATATGAAGCCCACACATGGATTTATTTTTGTCTTCAGCACAGGGACATCAGCACTGTGGACAAAATCACCACACATTTAAACAGGTGTCGGCTCCATAAATACACGTTGTTTACTGTTTATCTCAGTGCAGCAGGGCTTGATCCTGACATCACAGCAATATAAAACACACGCTGATGCCTCCTCTAGTGGCCAACGAGGAACCACATGTCTACGTTCTCAAACAGGACGTTTACATAAAGAGGGGAAAACATAGATGGAAGGAGTTGGTGCTTGTCTGATCCTTCAAACAATGTCACATCTGATATGAACTGATATTGCAATTTACACTTAGACAAATACATACATTTTGTATCCATAGCCTTTCTCTAAGTATATAGTTTCATCACAATCATAAGGATTTTGAAACAGCTGACTATGCCAATTTTCTTGAATTCATTCTTGCCTTTAAGTAAGTGTACATCTACAGTGTACATCTAACATGGCAGTAGTACACTCATTTAGATGCCTTACTTTTACTTAAAAAATCTAAATATTGTTCAATAATCTCAAAAAAACACACTCGTCATGAAGTTTGAGCTCACTTTGGAGCACAGTTTAGTTTATAATCAGGGTGGCCATGTGGACAATAGGGGGTTTTCAGCACCGGCCATGGAACACAACGTTCCCAGTACGAGAGCCTCGGGGGACCTTTGCTGCATGTCATTCTCCCTCACTTCCTGTCCTCTCTCTACCCTCAGCTTAATTTAACTTACTTAAAAATCTATGAAACATAACTATTCACCATGTGGCCATGACAGAATGGGCTGCAGCCTCACTTCCCTTGGCCAAAATTACACAGGGCTGACTAAAAGTGGGCATCCTGCTGGCTCAGTTGGCTGACGCGCCTGCATCTTGGACATGTGCCGACCCGAGACCTTTGTTGACTTCAACTTGAACCGTTTTCAGTATCAGCTTTATGTATGCGTACACATACATGGAATTTGCCTCCGGTTTCCACTCCGCTCTCAATGTACATACACTATTTTACAATAAACAAGAAAAATATATAAAGAATAAAAAAGGGTAGCAAAAAAGTAGAACAGATGTAGGTATAAACATTTAACAGCTATATACAATATAAGTATAAATACATATATCTCCAAAAAAAAGTGTGTATATATGTATATATATATATATACATATATACACACATTTGTTGCTCATGTGCCGTAATTTCAACCCAATGCGATAAGTATGAATTAAAAAGAAGGAAAAGGAGAAAAACAGAAGGAATGGAGAAGAAATAAAGGGAGGAGATCTGCCCTCACTGACAGAAATTATAGGGTCAGACATGGCACCAACATTATGGGACTTGGAGCGAGAGGATTGTATATTTGCATAGTGCATACGCGAGGCACGTGTGTCTGTTTATATAGCAGATTATACTGTAGATATATACATAAGTCTAAATGTAGATCTACTGTATATATAACAATAGGTGTTGTCACTGGTTTATGGTCTTACCTATTTTACAGTAACGTTTTTTGTGACAAGTGTAAATGTCTCTGGATATTTCTGTCAACATGAGAGTAACCGCAGTGTGTGTGAGCACACGTGTGCTGTGAGACTGCAGCCAGCGACGGCGTGTCTTCTTGTCTCCGTCGGGGTCATTGTGAACCAAGTAGTGCCTCTCTCCAAATATAAACTAAACCCAATTACCGATCCTCACTACTGTCTCTGTTCACACAAGCTGGCTTAATACAATCTTTACATTTTCACACAAAGTGTGCATTCTCACCGAGCAACAACGGTTTCCTGTGTTTTGGAAGCGATTGGAAGGAGCTAACAAACTGTCACTTTGCTGCATTCCAGCGGTAAAAACATGCTCACCTCTACTATGTTTTTGTGTCTCATGAGGGTTTTCTTTTGATGCCTATCAGATGTCATTGTCAAGGAATGTTAACTAATGATATAATTGAGTTTAAGTGTGTGTCTTGAACTTAAAAACACTCTGCTCGGAAAAGAACCGTTTATATATTGTTTTCGAGTCGAGATATCCCGCATATGTCAGTGGTTTGTAGGAGCCAGTTTAAGGTTTGGGTATTCCCCTTATAATATTTAAGGGGAACGCCATTGTAGTGAGTGACCTGAGCCACCAAGCCTATGCTGATGTCTTCCTTTCTTTTTCCTTTTGAAAAGCAGCAGAATAAGCTGAAACCCTAGTCCATTTGTATTGTCAGGACAAAGAGAGACCATTGTGGCAAGAGGGGTGGAGGGGAGCTGCTGGTGGAGGTAGGGGTGCAAGGGGTCAGGGGGGGCAGAGAGGAGTTAGTCAGAGACTGACCCATGCTGGGTGGAGTGTTGGGGGTTCGGGGTGGTGGGGGTGTGCAGGTCAGGTAGCGTGTTTTTTTTCTTTTCTCGCTCTATCTGAATGATGAGCCTGAAGTTGCAGCAGTGTGCATTTATCCAGCTGGAAGAGGCTTCGGTAGCAGAGCAGCAGCAGGGTGGGGGAGGTTATGTTTGGAGGGAGGGAGGGAGAGAGGGTGAGTGACGGGGAAGCCAGTGCACTGCCTCTCTCACGCTCCGGACAGGAGTTTATTCTGCTCCAGCTGCCTTCACCACAGCACACAGAGAGCTGGAGAGAGAAAAAGGCACGGGACCTGTTGATATCACCAGCAATGACTTACAGCACTTACACAGTGGATTGTACACTGGATTTTGGCGCTTGGAGTTGATGACACTTATTTATTCATTGAAGTTTGGTATTTCGTCTGGTGCCTAAATGCTGTCACTGGGCAAAATGCACTCCAGAGCAAAGTCCCGGAGTTGTGACAACTACCTGAGTATTAAGGTACGAGCTTTAAATATGTCTTCATTACAGTTTTACTGAGACTTCTTGGAAGTTTCTGTTTCTTTCTGTGCATTTATGTGTTTGAACTCTTCTGTAATCTTGTGTGTTATTGTGCACATTCAGGGGACGTTTTTTAATGGCTCAGCTTGTACTTGGCTGATATTTTGACTTCTTGCTATGTAGCCAAAACATAGCGGGTATTATATTTGTATCAGTTAATTTTCTTTTAGTTTCAATTATATTATGCCTTTATTTTCTTGTTTGCTTCAGTAACAGAATTTCATAAGTCACACTGTGTGTAAATGTTTGCATTTCGTCTGCTGCTCTCAGATACTTGCCTGTTTGTAGTAATCTGTGTTCACTTCGAAGGACATTGGCAGTGTAATTCTTCATTGATGGCCCCTCAACATGTTCTCCAACGGTTGCACAACGATTACAAACTGAATGTTGTGACTCTCTGCGTGATTAAAGACACATTAGGTGTGCAGTCTTGACAGGGAGCTAAACACTCGAATTGAAGACCAGATAAGTAACATATATTTTAAATCTTGAATTTCTATTTTCAGTAGATACAGATATTAATGTTTTTAACCTGTGTACCATCATCAGCAGTGGTGGGCTTTTATCTGCAAACAACAAAAGAATGGGGTCAGTGAAATACACAAGTTTGTATCCTTTCTGATAAGTCAGGTTCTTTTATCATCCTCCCACTTGTTTTGGTATGCAGCCATGCTATATTTACTCTGCAGAGGTATCAACAGACTTTTGTTAGTCTCCTTTGTCTCTCCTGTCACTGCTCATCACCACTCTGATTGGCTGAAGGACCTCCATTCACTTTTTGTCTTCTTTTTGTTGGGGTTTCCTTTATGCAAAGGCCTAATCAAACGTGAGAATCCACGTTTGCTGTATAAAGTGCAACAGCTATCTAGAGGGTCTGTCAGCGCTGCTGAGGAACAATATCCTGCCAGTGTTTTTGCATCCTGTAGGACAAAGTCATTAGTTGACTATACATAAATCAAGTCTTTCTGATAACCAACGTGGGAATCTTTCCCTCTACTTCATTAGGGTTCAGTTTTCTCTTTGTCTTAATTAAAAAGGAACATTTTCATCTTGTTTTGTGCAGTATTTTTTAATGACCCAGCTTGAAGAAATATGTAGGCTGTACACTTAACATCTTATTATATAGCCTGATGATTAGCAGACATCTTTCTCTTATGTGAATTAGGGAAATTATATATAGTAACTTCTGCTGAGAACGTTGGGCCAGTTTATCACCTCCAGACTTCCATCGTTGTTGATCCCGCTGTCACCCCACAGACCCAGCTGTGTTTGCAACACAATCAGTGTTGGCCTCTCTGGGTTAAAGTTTATCTGCTGAGATAGCATTGTAACATTTACTAAAGTGTCTTTTTACAACATTCTAATATTGTGACATTGTCCACTGAAGAGCGTGTTCTGTAGTGTTCATACAGGAAGAGACAGAGTTTATATGTGTCTTATGTATGTTCGTGTGTGTATTCAAGTACAATTCAGTTTTACTTTGTTTTTTTACTAAAAAAAACGAAGTAAGTTAGTATGTGTCTTTAGCTGAGACACTCGTTAAAAGGCACTTGTATGAAAGCAGTCGTCAGATAAAGAATCTGCAATCTGCACTGATAGCTCCTAATAAATTCAATTTAATAGAACAATATTTTTTATTTCAGATCTTTGTCAGGCATTATTAGTAATGTTACGTCTTGAATTGTTGGGAGTTGTTTACATAATGTTTAGCTCTTTTTTCTGACTTTATACCACAGCCCCTCTCCTCACCTCTCCTCTCCTCCTCTCATAAGATAGGATTTCTATTGCTCCGGATCAAAAGCTGAATCAAATTGTAGGTTGAGTGGTGAGGTCTCACTAGGCTCTTTTGTTGACGTCCTGGCACCTGGCAGCGAGGCAGGTCTGAGCAACCTGTGGTCTTTGTCAGCCTGCGGCCTTTGAGGCTGTTAGCAGGCTGGTTAGTGAGCAGTCTGTATGGGGGCTCCAGGGCTCTCTTGTTACACTCCCCTGGTGGCTTCATGCTCCACTGGAGGCCTGGTAGGCAGCGCCTTTTGTGTCCCTGACCCACTAAATTTGTCAGTGACCACCTCTCGCCCGCTCTCTCTCTCTGTCTCTTAAGGTTTCTCGCTCTTTCTTTCTCCGTGATGCACCCCTTATCTCTGACCTTGATTCATTTCTTCTTCCACTTTATAGTGTGACACATGCTTTAAAAGGTGCTGTACTTTTAGAGTTACTAGCTAATATAACATTTTCACATGGTATATTTAATGTCTCTTATATAATTTACTTATAATGGCTCACAAACGTTTACTTACATTGCAATATTTCTAAATAATAAAGAGTGAATTTCATTCAGAGACAAAATCCACATCGTTCAGCTCGCTTACTCGCTCTGTGCACCTTCTGAACAGCTGGTTTACTGATGGTGCAGACAAAGGTGTCCCACCTGGAGCTTGAAGCCATTAATTACCACCTCAGTCCTCCATCACACAGGCGGCCTCTTACAAAGACCTGGCATCACAAAGGGTGGGACTTCCCAATCTGTTCCTGTCCTGGCTGAGGGTCTGAGGCTAGAGACACACAACCATACACACTGCATTCCTCTGTGGCTCAGAGCGGATGGGAAGCTCAGCTCTGGTGGCTATAAGCTCAGTAGTTCTGCTGAGACTTGCAGATATGTCTCCCACTAGCCAGGTGACACTTTTTGAAAAGCTTCAAATGCTTACGGACAATAGAAAGCGATACATGTTGTACCTTATCTAAGATGTTATCTACAGGGTGACGATGTAATGTTTATTTCCCACTACTCTCAATGTAAACATGGTGTTATTGTTCAGATAAGTGCAGTTTTTTTGTCCATATTGTAGCATCGGATGACATGGACAGCCACTCTTGTGCAGCAGGCTGAATAGCATTTGATTGATCATTGGGCACAGGTCTCTGCTATGTTGAGTAATCGCTCATCAAAACACTACTGATGTCACTACCACTGTTTTTTTTCTGTCTCGGGAACCTCAAGAGAAACTGGTGTGTCCTAACTATGTAGTGAGGGCTTTCCTCCCATTGTTAGCTTTCCTCTAATAAAACACCATGTTATTCTTCTCCTCCCGGGTGCAACAGTGACTAATACCCAGAGACATTTTTGTCTCACTGAAAGCAGGCTGACTGCTAATGGAGGTGGGCGTTTTGTTTCAGGGCACCAAACACTGTACGGCACATACCACTTAGAGAGGCGGAGTACACAATGAGCGCCTTGTAGTAGAGTCGTGGCATGTGTACCAATGCACTGAACTGTACTCACTCTCCTCTAATTGATGGTGCTGAGCTGCTTAGATCAACAGGACAGATCCTACAAAGGGTGAAACATGGGCAGTCTGACAGGCTAAATTCACCAGAGCACAGGCGATCTCTTGATTTCTAAGCATCCTTTTTTTTTTAACACACTTTTATTGTCATGTAAATGCAGCGAAGACATTCAAGTGAAAGTTAGGAGCTGCGTCCTCAACCCCTGCGTTCCTCAGCATGGTACACAGTTGTCATAGTGTGGGACTTTGCCTGGCATTGCTATCTATCTGTGTGGTTATCATTGGAGGCAGATGTCTCTATTCCACTGTTGTGTTCCATTCGGAAAAGGCCAGATAGCAGAGGGATGTTTGGCCTTGGCTCCGACTGCTGAGAGGAAGGTCATAGCCTGAACCGTGAGCATAACTACAAGACCAGGTCAACCTCATCCAGGACTGCTGTAATCCCAAATGTCCCTTCTCATCCCCCGGACAAGTTGTAACTAACAGTGTCCAACATGTCATCTCTTCTGGTGGGAACAGGTGGTGGTGGGCCAGGTCGTGTATGGGTCAGATAAAAGTCAGCGATGACATGGTTGTTATTAATGGGTAGCATTGCACCATCCCGGCCTCAACTGGATTCCAGTCTGTACTTTCCAGTTTTGCTGTTTGTGTCCGCTGACAGTGACGTCACTCCCACCGGGTGTTTCCCCTCTTGCTGATGGAAAAATGGCCGACATTTCCTGTCATGTTCAAACTTCCTGACTGTCTGGCTAAGTGGGATCTTGCTCAGTAACTCATGGGCATATGCAACTGCATGTTCATCTGGTTGAAATCATGTACAGTAGGCAGATGCCTTGTTATTTGGTTATAGTTGTGCAGCCTTTGTATGATATTTTTAACCATGCCAGTGGCATGGCTCTTGTGATGGTCCGCCTGTTGTTTGATCGGTCCACTACTGTAATAACAACTATTGAATGGATCAGTGTGAAATTTGGTACAGACATTCATGTCTCCAGAGGATGAATCACAACAATGTTTGTGATGCTCTGACTTTTCCTCAAAGGCCATCAAAAAGTTGTCATTTATTGAAATATTTATTCGATGGATTACCATGGAATTTGTGTTTACTTCTAATTAGCAAATGCTAGCATGCTAACGTAGCAAACTACAATGATGTATGTGGTAAGCATTGTAAGTGCTAAATATCAGCATGTTAATATGTTATTGTGAGCATGTTAGCATGCAGAACTTCAGCATTAAACTAAGATCTAAGCCCCGAAAGTACAGCCTCACTGAGTCACTAGCATGGGTCACTCTTTACACAGGATCACAGGAAGATTAAATACATGCGGGGAAAAAAATCTGTCAGAATTAATGTTATATTTTCTGACTTTCTCTATTGTTTTTGTGTGTGTGTGTGTGTGTGTGTGTGTGTGTGTGTGTGTGTGTGTGTGTGTGTGTGTGTGTGTGTGTGTGTGTGTGTGTGTGTGTGTGTGTTTGAAACGCTGGATACTTTCACCACTTCACGCCTAGAATGAAACCCTGAGTGGGAAATATAATTCTTTGATCGGCCTGCACACAGCCCATGTTCACACCAAGGCCATAACCTGTGTCGAGATAGACATTGCTTTGTTTTAAAGGATCACAAGCCAAAAAGGTGGGAGACCACTGGTTGACTTCCATGTCCATGTAGAAAGTGTTTTAGTGTTTTGCTAAATCTTGAAAAAATGGCCTTTGATGGGGCTTTTGGTCTGGACACATTTCGCACAAACGTCATCTGAAGAAAGATGTCCAACCTAATCCAGATATTCTTTTACTCAGGACACTGAGTCTTTGGACAGCTGTATCCAGAGCACCTTGTCGGCCCTGTACAGCCCCTTCAGTGCCACCGCTGCCACGGTCCTGTGGCAGCTCTTCAGTGTGGTGGAAAGGCAGTACCGAGGAGACGGCCTCCGCTGCCTCATTGACTTCCTGCTCCCTGCCAAAAGAATCCTGCAGATCATCCAACAAGAAACCTGTGTGAGTTGTTGCTAGATGTGTCACCTCAGGTTAAATCGATATAACCTTCTGTGATTTATTTCAGATTTCATTTCAAACTGATTTACCAGGTACTAACCTTAGTGATTTCCTGCAGGACTGTTGGAAATCAAATGTTGAAGGACTCAACACTAAAAATAAAACCAATAGTCCCACTAAAACATGTATCCGTGTGTCAGGACATGTCAACTCATGTCCTTCCCGAAACACTTCAAACATTCAATTATAAATATCTTGAAAGATAAGCAGCTGAAGTGATAAGACAATATGTTTGTGATAAAAGAATGTGAGAACAGTGCTGCTGAGTGGGAATATATTTTCTGAGTGGGAAGGGGGAGCATCAGACTGAGACAGAGTTGATTATTGTTCTGAAAACAAGCTGAAAAGCAGCCATCTTTCTCTGAATAGGGAAACAGAGGGAAACTGTGGTCTGTTTGAGAGGCTGCCTTGGACTCTTGGGCCCAAAGTGAAATTCAATATTCTCTCTCACAAGCTTTGATTGCTGTGGGTTAGGGCTCTGCAACCAAAGCACTGTAACTTTATTCCTCTGTATTCATCTCCGCTGTGATTACACTGTGACGATAGCCACAGCAATAGTTTCACCTAAGCCTAGCCCCTGAGAACAGCTTGCAGTGCTTGAGAGTCTTTATATTGCAGGCAATATGAGAGGCTTCAGAGGAAGATCACATCCTCAGTCTTTGACACGAGATGAAAAAAGTCAACCCTTGAGCACAGTGTCTTAGCTCTTAGGTTCTGTTTTTTATTCTGTCACAGTAAAGATTTGTGTTGTGGATGCTGCGAAACCAGGCCTGATCAGACAGGTTTTCCTCCTTCGTCGAGTGATCGCTGACGGTGATTCATCCAGTGCGTCCCATGAAAACATCTTGCAGCTCCACTAAAGTTAAACATGTGTTTGAACACAGCTGTGCAGATGTCAGTCATACCACAGCTAAGCCACGACGCACAGATGATAATCTTTTGTGGGAGTGACTGATTTCTCTGTTTTCTCTCAGGTGAGGTTCAGAGGATTGCTGTTCTACCATGAGGGGTGGCCTCTCTGCATCCACGAGAAAGTCGTCCTGCAGCTCGCCCCTCTGCACAAAGTGCGACTAAAGCAAGGAGACTTCTACCTCCAGATTGTTCCTTTAGGCCGCAAGACTGCTAAGCTAGTCATAAAATGTCTGTCGGTCAGTGGGCAGGCCATCACAGAAGTCACCGTCGCAGAGAGCATGTATGGCAGTGTCTTCACAGCTGAGTTCTTGCAGAATGTAACACGTGACCGTAACCTGCACCCACTACAGAACTGTCTGCTTACCACTGGTACGGCTGTGTACAGGACGCCGTGGAAGAACGTGGTCAACCCACTGTTTGTCAGCAGCACGGCGGACGCCATCATGCAAGCACGCTGCAGCAGAGGTGGCTTCCGCGGCCATCTCAGCACCTGCAGCACCAGCGGATCCACAGGCACTCTGGACAGCCACCGCAGCTCCAGAGAGTCTCTGCACTCTCAGGGAGCTGACTCCATCTTCTCTGAGCCCACCTCCCGAAACAGACACCACTTGGACCCCAGCAGTGAGAACCACAGTGTTGATTCACCGGACACTGCTATACCTATCATTAAAATTGAAAGATCCACTGAAGAGTGTGGAATAGGAAGTGAGGATAGTGGTGGGAGAGAGAGCAGGCCAGGGTCCAAGATGCTATCTTTTAGTACGGACCTCAGTAACCCTGGCCCTCGACGACGCCTCCCAAGGGACTCTGTTGCATTTGAGAGCAGGAGACTTTTCAGGAAATCTTACATGGAGGCCCTGCAGAACCCCATGAGCCTCGGGTCCAGCTCTGAATCCATTCTGGAGGAAAGCCCAGAGCATGGTGCTGGTCTAAGAGAGAGCTCGGTGACACCGGGGAGCAGCCCCGACACCCGGTCTTCCTCCAGAGAACATTTATCTCGGAGGTTGGGTAGCCGGAGCTGGCTCAGTGGGGATGACTCCAGACCCAGCACACCTTTGCTTTACTTACAGAGGGGGTTGAGGAGCGCAGAGAGACGGGCGGAAAGACGCTCAAAGTCACTGGAGAGGACTAACAAGGCAGGCCAGGTTAAAGGCCACCGGGAACGATCCTCTTCTGGAGGCTCGGCTAGCCCCTCCCCTAAAAAGCTTATCAATGGCTACACTCTGCGTTTTGGGAAGCTCGATTTGGAGGCGGCTTTTCCTGGCTCTGAGAGGAGAAACAGCAAAGAGGAGTCAGGTATGTGATGCTGCACTGATGTTTCACCTTTTGATTTCTTAATGTCTCATTGTACAAAAATCCCATTTAAGTTGCTAATATTACATGCAAATACTTTGTCTGTTGGCTTCACCAGCAGTAGAAAGTACAAAAGTACATTTACCCAAGTACTGCACAGTTTTGTGATACTTGTACTTTACATTTCAGACTGTATTTCAAGTAATATTTTTTATTCCACTGCAATTATTTCACAGCTTTAGCTAGCAATAACATGTATTACAACACTGATGTACGGGGGGGGGCATGTTCCTTCATCACAATGAACATGGGCACTGTGGTTTTTTTAAAAAGTACTTCCATAAAAACTCACTATCACCCATGGCTGAAATAGTCCCCAATAAACGTCTAAAAACTAAAGGCTATTTTGGGAGATTGGTTGGCTTTTTTTGGGAAATTAAACTATACATTTAAGATTCTTTCAAGATTTAAATCTTCAGTAGGAATGAGTGTTGTATATATTATGGAAATATATGTTTTTTTTCTCCAACAGTGGTTGAATCATTATAACAGTCCATGACTCATCATTTCTTGCTTATCAAATAATCTCACCTGAGGGTGTTAAAACCACTCTTAACCACTCTATCACCCGTAATAGCCAGATAATGGAGGTTTCTCATGAGGGTGTGTAATTATACCCCGCAGCAGGAGCGGTTATTCATCAGGTGGCTGCAGTTGGAGTCTAAGTTGAGACAACACATAACTCTGAAGCATTGACGCTGCCATTCGTGCCAGATTGCTATTCAAAGCCCACTGTGTATTTTTTGGCATGTTCAGTGTACAGGTACAGCCCTCCCCTGGAAACAGAACTTACTCACAACCCTGTGTTTTCTTTGCTACTGTCAGTCTTTGTTTTTGGGTTGGTTCACACAGGGTAGCTCAGGAAAGCGGTGATGTGAGAGTACCACCTAGGGAATCAAGCTGTTTTTTCAAAACACAGATTCTTCCGTGAATTGAAATGTGCGGTGAAGAGTTATTTCAAATCTCTCAATCCTAACTTTGGACAATGCTAGACCATAGTTAGTACTGACTTTATAAATAAAGTTGATTATACGTTCATTTAAATATGTTAAATACACACCTTGCAGCAAAAATATAGTAGTTAAATCACATCACTCTTTGTTGCATTCCTGAGATTACCTCAGAGGGGATTGTGTTTCAGCTGTTGTAAAGCAGGTTTCCCACAACGACATTTCAAAGGCAACAAAGGATCCTGTAAACCCTGTAAACCAACCACAGGGACCCCAGCATCCCACAATGAGATGACCCTACAGTGTTATTGGGGCTGGGGGCTGTACTGATCCCAGATGGGTTGCCTCATTTACAAAAGTGTCCTTTGTGAATCAAATCAGCCACTGGGGGTTCACGAAAATAGGCCTTTCAAACTACACCTGTGTCTTTGGAGAGACCATTCAGTCCAGAAACACAAGACCTAACCTGCGCTGACTCACACCACTCTGAAAATATACTCCAGACGGCTTACATTACTCATTATATGAGCCAGCAAACTCTGCAGTATCAAAAAACCTCCTGTGTGATTTATGTGATCAGTAACTTAAAGCTCCAGCAACCAGTGCAGATTTAGCCTCTTTGACGGCCTACAAACGTGTCCCGCAGACTACACGAAAAACAGACTTTCACACAGGACAATACTCAAGAGGCTTTACTCTACGTTTGTCACTTCCTCTGAAAACAAAGCTATTTAGGAAACATGCAGCAAACACAATCCTGGCCACACAGTCGCACAGGAAATGCACTGACTGTTTGAAGACAATAGAGTCTGAGCTGGGAGGGTTTACTGTCACAGAACAGAGCAGGACAATACAAGAGGCCTCGAACTGTTTAAAAAGACAACACACAACAGGTGTCCGTCAGACACAGATATATCGGCAGAGCTGGTTGAGCAATGGCCTATCAAGGATTTATGTTTATTTTCCAAGGCTATTCATTCTTCGATGTCTGATGTTTAGAAAGGACCTAGTTGCTTACTGTGGCTGTAGGAACAGGAATGTCTCTGTTGGTCAGCTGTTCAGTCCACCGTTTTGGTCCAGACTGAAACATCTCAAAAACCATTGAAGGGATTAGCGTGCAACAGACATTCATGGTCCCTAAAGGACGAATCCATATTCATGGTCCCTAGAGGATGAATCCTTATACCTTTTGGTGATCCCAACACCACCAGGTCAAATTTTCTCATTGTATAGTACTTTGGTTTATGACCAAATACTGGCATAGCTATTAAAATTCCCATCAGCCTCAGCTTCACTTTGTGTTAGAGCTTCATAGAAAATTCTGGCATGCTAACATGATTAACTAGGACGGTGAACCCACACCAGCTAAACATCAGCATGTTAGCATGCTGGTACTAGCTTTGATGCTCAAAGCATCACCGTGCCGGATTATAGCCTGATATAAACTCTATAAGGATTTGTTTTGTCTTGCCAAAACAGGTAAGTAAGTAAGTCAACTTTATTTAGTACAGCAGTTTTTACAGAGCAAGATCCCAAATTGTTTAATCCACAATAATAAACATTGAATAAAAAAGTAAGACCACAAAACAGTAAAAAGAAACAAACTATGAATTAAAACCCAACAAAGAAGCCTCAACTCAAGGGTGTGTTGGTAGAGGAGATCTTCTGCTGTTCTCTGGTCTACTAAACATGGGGCGCTACGGGCCCAGGTGTGTACCATGTCGCAACCCCTGCAAACAGGAAAACAGCAAACATGGCAACCAAAACAGACTTTTTTACTACAAATCAAATACCTGGAGCTTTATTAACAAATAATATGACAATTATTTCCAGTTATTTTTATTGATGAATCGTTTTGCCAAGAGGTTTGAGAGAATTGTTAAAAATGCAAATTACAGTTCTAGTCAAAAGTAAAATAATCAGATGTCTTGCTTGGAAGCTAAAACCAGAGATTCTTAAAATGAGCTTGTGAAATGACTGATATGATTGATAAATTATCAAATTTGTTGCTGATTCATGTTCTGACGATCAAATTGTCGATTAACTAAATCACTGTTGCAGCTTTACTGTGTACTGTGCATACTGTGCTATCCATTTTGACATTCCTTCAGTACTTAGCCAAGGCACAGTGAAGTATCCCATTGGGTATACAGTGATACTATGTTTCGCTGCCTCAGGAATAGGATCTGTGTCAGGGGCATTCCTATAAACAGAGCCTCGAGGTAGAAGACTGGCGAGGATGATGTGAAGAGTGAGTTACCCGTGACTCAGGCTGACTGAACACCTGGTCTGTGTGATGAGTCAGGGTGAACTCACTACTAGAGCACACTTGTGTCAACACTAACAAACACTTGCTTCATGACGTATTACGATTAGTACTAAGGTGGAAGAAAGCTTCTAAATTTATATTGATTGCTCTGTATTTTTGTACAGTTGTGGCATAGTAAGTATCACTCAGACAAAGTATGCCCACTATTTATACTTATTTCCTCAGGACAGCGCGATGACACCATCAGCAGTGAGAGCAGACGGCACAGGTACAGTGGAGAAGAGCCATACAGTCCAAAAGCTGCCAATGGGACGGCAATCAGGCCGGCTTCAGCATCAGCCTTCCCCAAACTGGTGTCGGAGGTCAATGAAGAGCTACTCTCATCGGGTGCCGTGATCCTGCCAGGTAGGGTTAGCGATGCGGACACGGCTGATGCTTTCATTCATCTTGATACATTTCTTTTTATGCATTTCAGTTCATTCACTTTACAATGAAATACGACATTTCCATTGCTTATTACCTTCCATTCACTTTGTAAAAGTTGCTTTTAATTCCTGATGTACCCCACGTCTTCTCCACTGCTGGGAAATAGCAGCAGGCCTTGACATACACTGCCATTTTTCTCAAATTAGTTCATGATCTTTTGTGGGAATTTTGAGCAATAGTTGTTTATTTCTGGACTGTGTTTGGACTGTGGTAAAAGGCAGAAATGCAGAACTGGGTATTCTTTTTCGGGCCATTATTTTTTGCCCCTTCATTTTTAATTTAACAGATATTTAAGAAACTTAGAAAGCACTTTCTTTCTAAGTAACTTTAGATTCTAATCTAGACATAGAGAATAACATTGACGTGATTTAGTTTAGTTTTAGTTTATTTATTTGCACAATTTAAAGAATACACAAACATAACAGAGATACATATTATTACAGTGCAGGAAGAGGCAGGAAACCCACTGGGCTTATTTGAAGCCTCCACCTAAATAATGTCAAAATTTCACAATATTATAGAGAACACAAAATGAATAAACATAACATATGACTACGTAATACTGATGTCAAAGTATTTTAACGAGTGATAACACTGAGCTCCTTAAAGCTTAAACATTCCTGACATAAAAAGTGTTGACCCCCTGCTGGCATTTACTCTTCCAGGAAACAGAGATCGCAGTGGGAGGGCAGTGCTACAGGTGTGCACAAGAGCTCAGGTGTGGGCAGGTGAGAGTTGCACTGTCAGTGACCTCACCTGTTTATTGGGCTACTACTATTCCACGCTGCGGTAAGTCACGCATACTCTGGGTTTTGTGTATGTTAAGAATAACTCCAGTAACTTTCACACCTGTCTTTTAACACCTGAGGTGAATGCGGCTGCTGTCCCTTGCAGTCTTTATTAATGCATTTAGCATGTTTCCAATGTTCCTCAACAGTGTAGTTGTTATTCAGAGCTTGTAGATGAATGAAAAAGTCAGTAGCTGTTCTTAGATATTTGTCTTTCAAGTGTAATTGGAATTATTGGATTTAAAAATGTCTCTGACCCAATCTATAAATATGTCAGGTGCTTGACAAAGACAATACACTCACGGTAATACTTTGGTTTCAGGAAAGAAAGGCGTGATCACGGCTTAACTGTTGTAATAGACAGCAGGAGGCAGCAGCCTGTTCCAGCTCTGTTGTCATCTCTGTCTGAATTGCAGGTGAGCCCGCAGTGGAAAACACGTAATTACCCTCCAACACACACTCAAAGAGTTTTCAGGCCCTGCTAAATCTCCGTTGTCTTCTGAACTGTATTGCTATGTCTCAAGGTTATAACACTATGGCATTCCTTACACATATCTTATTGTTCTACCTCTCAGTCTCGGACTCAGTTAGTTTTTAAATGTAACACACCTTTAAATTCATATTGACTGCAGTTCCAAGACATGTTTCTAAAGAAAAGGCTGGCCTCAGGGCTCTAGTGGAGAAGCCTGTGCTTACTTGTCTGTTTTTAACCGCACACTGGGAGCGGGCCAGCTGCAGCCGACTTACAAGAGACATATCATCATGCTATGATGATGAGTTTTCTGATGTCGGGATGATAATCTTGTAAACCACAACACATGCACTGTAAGTCAGTTTAGCTGTACAAATTCTACATGTATGTTTTTTATCTTATTCACTTATGCAAATGTTTGTGCATGTTTTTCTCAGGCGTTAGCACCAAATGCACTTTACACTGTTCTCTTCCTGGTGGACAAGGAGACCGCAGCCAAATCTGAGAGAGACATCGATGTACAGGTAAATAAAGACATCTCATCATCAGATTGATGAGAGGTATTTCTATTAAGTGATGTATTTAGATCTGATAAGGGATTTGCAATAATTAAATTAGTTGTTACTCGATTGAGACTTGATGAATTCCTATCTAATGTTGTCGCTGTAGGCTGTGATGAAACAGATTATCAAACTGAGTGCGTGTTCGTGCTTTTCTTGCCACAGACTGAAACAATGTCATCTCTAAAAGCCCTGCTGAAGCACATCGACCAAACCCAGCTGACACGAGACCTGGAGGGCACCTTCCAATACGACCACAAGCACTGGATCCACTTCAGACAGGTGGGTGTGACGGAGGTGGCTGGGCGTTTTAAACATATCTGTAAACTTACTCAAGAGCTTGGTGAGCGTGGATGTACCTTTCGAAAAAAAGAAAAGAAAATTCAGTTGTTGGGTGTTTGTTGTTCCTAAGAAAAAAATTTAAATTGTAATACTTGTGTTTTGCCAAAAGTTATGTGTAGTGACAAGAAATGGCTTCTCTGGGCCAGCTTTGGCCATTCTTGAATCGATCCCTTGCATTTCAGGCAGGGACAAGGACCAATCTTTGACTTTTCTCCAAAACACCCTGTCAATTTTAATAATGGTGACGGGCTCCAGTCATTTATGATGTTTTGACACTGCTAGTGCTAATAATCTCCCTCAATCTCTTTCTCTCTATCTCTCGCACAGAAAATTGACCCGTTTGCCAGCAGTTGTAGCGCATCTATCTCCTCCCTCCAGGAGTCTATCAGCACACTGAGCGGCAGCGGCAACCTGAAGACCTCGAAGGTCAGACCCGTCCCCCCGCGGGCACTCTTTCCTACTGAATTATGTGTCTCCACTGATTCACAATAGCTCTCTGCTGGCCTCTGGCCTCTTAACTGGAGTAAACAGTTCAGGAGTTTGTTTTATGGTTACCTTCCATGATCTTTGTGCTTTTCTTTTGAGTTTTAAATGAAGCAGATATTTCACTTCATTCATTTTTACATCCTTTCTTCATTTGATTTTGTTCACCACTGTGCATGTTTGATTCAGGAGGTATCTGAGGTATTGGAACAGCAGAGGCATCTCATGAAGTGCGTGTTAGAGGACACCCGTCTAAACAGAATGCGTCTCGAAGGAGGAACTGTCCTCGCCCGCATCAGGAAGGATGAGGCCTGTGAGAATGAAAACTACAGGTACTGAAGAAAAAAGGGTTAGACTCTCAACCACACGAGCCAACATGAGTGAAACCTGTGGTGATAATAAAACAGACTTTTCATAACCCGCTCTGTCCTGTTATTGTTTTCTTTGTGCATTTAGAGATGCTGTCGACATGTTGAATGCACTGTACAACCAAGTAGACGAAGAAGTCCATAAGCTTGTGATCCTCTCAAACAAGTCTCAGAAACAGTTGGAGAGGCTGCTGAAGGTGTGCTCGTTTGAGGAGCAAACCCAACAGGTGAGCTTCAACTATTTCACTCTTGACATTGTTATCTGTGCTGCAGTTTTTCTCGTTCAACAATCGGGATATTCTTGTTCTCTTTCCAGATCAAACTGTGGTTCAGCGTCGAAGGAGAGAAGCAGCTCACACCGTTGGAATCGCTAATGCTGTCTGTGGCCAAAGTTAAGGAGATGCGAGAGAGCTTGGGCCAGTTTCTTGAGGAGTCGGTGGTAAATATGGACACACTTTTTAAATACATTCCTCGTGGACCACCTCCTTTGTGTAATTTTGGGAAGACAATCCGTGCTAAATTGATCAGTTTTGTCCGTTTCTTGACAGCACCAGCAAAGACACGGCCTGCAGCTGGTGAAAGAGTCTCCAGAGTCCCTTCCGGGTTCGGTTCTCCTTGACTTTAAGCAACATCTGGGCTCCATCTTAAGCAGAGTGGAGAGGAGGAAGACCCAGCTAGACATCCTAACCAACCTGTATGAATTTTATGACTCAGTAAGTATTTAAACCTAATGTGGATATGCTGTCAGAAGTTATGCTACATTTAAGGATTAGCATGTACTTAAAGTCTTTAAATCTCCTTTACATCTGAAACCTATGCCAGACATTTTTCAGGATTAACCACGCTGCGTCTCTTAACTATGTTATAAAGATTAAACACTCTTTCAAATCTGTAGGCAAACCAGTGGATGGAGCACTGCCAGGATTATTTTGGCCACCTGAGTCCAGACACTTCAGGCGTTGGACTTTTGCCATCTGTGGTGCAGATCCTCCAGGATTACTACACCGAGGCCTCCAAGTTCTCCGTGGACAACTTCAGCACTCTCAACAACATGGTGCTCTCCCTGGAGAGTCCTCAGCAGCTGCAGCAGTGGAACACCGTGTGGCACAAATGCCAGCGGACCAAACAGCAGTTGGAAGAGACTTTGGCCGGAGCCATGACAGCAGCCCCTAACTCCACGGCTGTTGACACGCCGGCTTCTTTAAAGACTGCAGAAAGCCAGACCGCCACTCCAGAACAGCATGGATCGAAACCGTGTGTGCTGTTACCTGCGATAATTACACCATTAACTTTTGAGGACAACAAGCCTCACTCTGCTGGGCCTTTCTCCAAGAGCCCAACCAGTTCAATCTCCTCTTCCTCACACTTCACCTTTCCCCCCGAATGCGACAGCAAACTGAGGCAGAGTCCATCCATGTTTGACGACACAGACAGCGACTGCACCATCGACTCGACCATCTCATGCCACTCGGAGCCCGTCTACTCCGGTGCAGCCCGCCTCCGCAAGCAGCCAATGAAGAAGATCATGAAGAAGACCATGAGCTATGAGCTGAGCCCGAGGGATAGTGGTCACTCAGACGTCAGCCACATTAATGGCTACACGGGTGTGTACATCAAGGGCTTGGAGGTGGCTAATAACGTGTCTGCAGAGAAGAAGCTGCAGAGACCTGACTTAATGAGCCCTGCATTAGGACGCAGCCGCAGCATGTCTACGCCCTCCAGGATCAACAACAGACGCAGTGACGGAGAGGGCAAGAAACAGAGCAGGTGAGGAAGTGAACCACTGATACTAAACAAGACCTGGGATGTTGCTTTACACATATTAAAAAGTGTATATAATTTATGAAGAGAGCGTGGACAGAATACCAGAAAAAACAAATACTATGAAATCATTTTTGGGTTTATTATCTAAAGTTTAGTATTGTATTAATCATTTTACCAGTGCATCATGAGTACTCTTACAGCTTATCTTTTTGTTGTCCAGTAAAGTACAGCACATAATGGATGAGATGATCTCCACAGAGAGGGAGTACGTTCGCTCTCTCAGCTACATCATTGAGCACTATTTCGCCGAGATGGAGCGCCTGGACTTGCCACAGGACCTGCGGGGGAAGCGCAGCATCATTTTCGGGAATGTTGAGAAACTGTGGGACTTCCACAGTCAGTACTTCCTCAAAGAGCTGGAGTCATGCGCCCACTCCCCGCTGTCCATCAGTAGCTGTTTTCTCAGACACGTGAGTCCAGACAGTCAGTAAGTCAGTCAGAGTGTCCCGAGGCGGCACGCGGACAGCCTAAACACAGCACTTAGGTCTAGTGGCTCCCAACAGCCGGGACTGTAATGATGTGTTGACCTGTAGTTACTGACGTTTTTCAAAACAACGAAATGCAAAGTGTCAGGGTTTCACTGTCACACTGTTGTTGTTCCAATACCCATATAGTCACTCATCAGCAGCATAATGAACCCATAAAATGATATTTTCAGTCTCTTGGGAGCTGAATCATTCATTGTGTTTTGCAAAGCATACTGAAATGCATACTTCTTACTGTGGTCAGTGTCGTAACTTGTTCATCTTGTGTGCAGGAGGATCAGTTTGGAATGTATGCCCTGTACAGCAAGAATAAGCCCCAGTCCGACGCTCTGCTCAGCAGCCATGGGAACGAATTCTTTAAGGTGCATCTGGAAACTCACCATAACATTCCTCATAGAGTGGCAGGTCACATGGCATTGTATGTTGGTTGTACACTAAATAAATGTAAACATATTAGATTCTGAGCAATAGGTAATCACAGATAAATTAGTATCGGAATATATTACTGCACTGAATTATAATGACATGATATTAAAAATTCTCAACACGAGGTCCAACTTCCATGATTTTGAGTGTTTTGTTCACATCTCATGGCCTTCGTCAGCAGATGGAGCTGCTCAGTTTTCATGGAGATGATAGGCGTGACCGTAACCCCTGTTGTTGTTTCACGATTTGAACTGGGATGTTTGAGTTAATGTAGACACAATGTCAGTGTTTGCCCACCAGCGAGCACTGAAACGTTTATTTTTTCTAATGTAAACTGTGCCACACAGTTCAAGTTTTCGACACATTTATTTAATAATCATGTTTAAAGGATTCTTTGTTTACTAGTTTATGTTGAAAAATGAATATTGCCTAAAATGTTGCTTTTTAAAACTCAAATTTTAAACATGGGTCAAAAAAATGTAGCATTGATTATAATCTAATTAATACATGTCCAACACTCAACATGGCTGCATTAAATCAACATCAATTAGCTAAAGGCTAATAAACAGAATTGACATTTGTTCGACTCACTCACAACATTTGCATCCCTATATTCAAAAGACACATTACACAATAATAATCCATCTGCTTATTCCGCTCTCCCCAGAATAAGCAGATGGAGCTCGAAGACAAGATGGACTTGGCGTCCTACTTGCTGAAGCCCATCCAGAGGATGAGTAAATATGCGCTGTTGCTGAAAGACCTGATCAAGGAGTGCAGTCAGTCCCAGGAGCAGGAGCTGAGCGACCTCCGCACTGCAGAGGAGATGGTCAAGTTTCAGCTTCGCCATGGCAATGACCTGCTGGCTATGGATGCCATTCGGGCCTGTGATGTAAGAAGAAATACATGAGCCCAGAGCCATGTGCTGCTGTGATGAATATTTTGATGTCAGCATGAAAACCAAATGCTACTCAACATTATTTTCTGGCAAGACATTAAACTATTTTGGAAATGGAGGTTATCTTGTTATGTATACAGCAGATTGAGGTCAGAGTCCGACCAGGAATTGTATTGTTCTCTCTGACGCATGTGAACGGCCATGTTTCCTCTCCAGGTGAACCTAAAAGAGCAGGGTCATCTCCGCTGCCAGGATGAATTCATAGTCTGGTGCGGACGGAGGAAATACCTCCGCCACGTCTTCTTGTTTGAAGACCTCATCCTCTTCAGCAAGACCAAGAAGATAGAAGGAGGATATGACTTTTACATCTATAAACAGTCCTTCAAAGTAAGAGTTTATTGTTTGAGGATCACTTTTGGTCCCTTGAATAAGGATGGTTGAGTTAATGTTTCTTTTCCATTCTGTTCTATTTAGACAGCAGAAATAGGTATGACTGAAAATGTCGGCGACAGCGGCCTACGCTTTGAGATTTGGTTCCGTCGGAGGAAGTCACAGGACACGTTTATACTCCAAGCCAGCTCTGCAGAGGTCAAGGCTGTGTGGACAGCCATCATAGGGAAGATTCTGTGGAGACAGGCGCTCAGAAACAGAGGTGTATTTAATTGTGATTTTGATCTGAATATATATGTATATGTGACATTCAGGCCCTTTATCCCATGTAAGACTAAGGTTTTGTCATTAAAGATTTCCTTTTCTGGATTCCAGAGTTGCGCATGCAGGAGATGGTGTCCATGGGGATTGGAAGCAAGCCTTTTATGGACATTAAGCCAAGTGATGCAGCTATCAGTGACAGAGCCATTAACTATATCATGAAGGGGACAGGTGAGCTGTCCTTGTACACTTCATGTATTTGAGCCTCAGTATACTTTTATTATTCTTATCCCTTTTTCTCCTTCTCTACAGTTTGTTGCTTCTTCATGATTCACGTTGTAATTATGCACAAAATTTGCTGAAACCACAAAAACTTGGCTCTTGCTTTCAAGTGTTTTAATGCCAGTAGTAAAATGACAGTTTTGTGAAGTTACCCCACCAGCTGTAATCTTAAACATACTGATTTGAAGTCATTACAACCGCAGTAAGCTATTTTACATTACCCCTCTTTCATGGCTCACCGGAGATGCTGATTCATGCCTCAATTATCATCATTAACAACCACAGGAATGTTCAAATGTTCATTCTTGTCACTTTTCATCCCTCCCATGATCTCACAGCTCACTGTGTTTGTCTCTGCCGACAGAGGCTAGGACCAGGGCGTCCATTGCGGTGTCTTCGTTTGATCACACCACTTCGTTCAAGAGACCTCACTCCACAATCTCCAACAGCAGCACCTCCTCCTCCAGCAGCCAGTCCTCCTCCTCCCTGCTGGGCTCGCTCAATCTTCACCTTTACTCCTCACCCTCTCACCCGCACACACATCCATACCTAGTGACCAGTGTTCCCTCCTTTGCCCAGTGGCCCTATGACTGCATAGAGGAAGATGAGCTGGAGCAGGACACCGGGAGCCAGCCCTCCATGAGTGAGTGGCTACTATATCTTCTGTAGAACCCAAGGCAATTTTTAAATTGCATGAAAATACATAAAAGTCTGTCTAACTTGGTGACTGCCTGCATATTGACTGAACTTCCTTGAACTCTTGCCTCAATAGGACATTAATGGAGTCATTTGTTGCTTTATTCAGTATTACAGTATTGATGTAACTTTCTCTTTGTGTTGCAGTCACTGAGAGCTCAGAGACGTCCTCCCAGTGTACCTCCAGTGACAGTGTAACAGGCCTGAGTACCCTCACTATACCCGGGCACGCCAGCATCGTCATGGACTCCTACAACAACGAGTCTCCTACTTTCCTGTGCTCCTCCCCGACTTCCTCCTCCATCGCATCTCCTTCGATATTCCAGAAAGAGGAAGAGCTCCAACCCCAGGGCACCAAGTTCATCACAGCAGTGAGTGCTTGATTATCTTCCTTGTTATCTGTTTGTACTAAGATTAACTAAAGTCACACCTCTGCTAACATCACGTTGTTTCATGAGAGTGTATAATGAGAAGTACAGCTCAGATAAACCACAGCTGGGGTGACACCCATTTATATTTCGTTGCTCTCTCTCAAGTCAAGTAAATGTATTATTTATTTAAGGCCTATATAGAGGTGTGAACACTTCATCCCAGAACATTTGCATGTTTTTTGGTTCAGGGAATGTTAACTACATGAAGTACTTACAAGACGTCTTTCTTTAAAAGATACTCAGTTGGTTTCAATCTGCAGCCTCACCACTAGATGGTGCCACATCCTACATGCTAGACCTTTAACTCTTCCCCAAATTTACTCCATAATATTATATATTTTTTACTATTGATGTTGTGAGTCACCTTAAGCCCAGCTGTGAACTACTAGTATGGATAATAATTCAGCCCAAAATGTACTGTATTCCCACTGGTACATGATAAAATGCATTCAAGTCTGGGGCCTTTGGTATATTTTATCTTGTTTAAATACATACATTTATATATTTGTATTCATTGTACTTCTTTATTCTCTTTGGAGTTAAATTGAAGCTGCATATCATCATATTGTTCTGAGGTGCACTTGCTTTCTAAATGTAGTTTTACTTTTACGCAACAAAAGTGAGGTTTGAAAGGGCGATTAGATAACAATATAACACCATGTTGATTATTTGCTTAAAGATGCCTAAAGCCAGGAACATGACTGGTTTTAAATTCTGATTATAACGTTAATTTGGCTATGATTTTTAACAATCCTGTAATTGGATATATAAAGAGCTTTAGACCACTCAAAGCAGTTGCAATTATATTGAACACCACAAACGAACCAGACCAGAGTCCGCTTGGAAGTGGGCCGAGACCCACCTTTTCAGGCGGGTTCAGTTGTTGGCCCGCACCAGGATTCAATTGACAGCTTTCACACCAGCCCAAACCAGAACCAGACTATCTGACGAAACGCTCCAGGGTTCAGTTAAAATGGACCAAACAGGTTACGTGTGAAAGGGATCTACGTGGAAGAGAATATTTGAAGCTTCAGTTTCACTCACCACCTTTTTGCTGTTTTGTTTTTACCAGAGCAAGGCCTCTCATATAGCAGTAGGCCTCTCTACTGTGGTCTGAGTCAGAGCTGAGGGATTTTACCTCAGTAAGTAACCATTGTCACCAGTTCGGATATGTATTGTTCACTTCACAGACTCATTAACAACTGTGAAGAACCCGACTGACTACTAATCTGTGTGAAAATGTGCGTTTGGTGCCTCTGTTGTGTGCTGCATGGCAGTGTGTTCTGCTGGGTTAGGGGGCTCTCCTCCTTATGGGTCGTTTGTTTTCTAAACTTCTGGCTCCCGTTCATGTTTTCCTCTTATTTTCCTCCGTGCATCCGTTTGACATGAGGGTGAAATTTGTGTTTTCAAGAGTTTCGTGTATGTTTGAACACACGCACGCAAGCAACTTTTGTTTTGGGGCTTTGGAATGCATTCATGATTTTTTTCGTTTTTGTTGATGCCTGCGTTTTATGTTTTTAACAAACTGTTTAACTTGTTATTTTTATTTGTCTCTTATTTTTCAAATCAACTTTTACAGGATTTATTTATTTATTGTAAAACCACAATACAATACCAGATTATATGCATCAAATATTTCAATGCAAATGGCAGCATAAAAACAGGTGACCTGGAGGTTTTAGGAAATGGACTGAGCCAAATGAGAACCGCCTCGCTGTTATTTCATTTAGGCAAATTTAATTTTTGTGGAATAAATAAGACCTTCGGTGTTGCTCTTTGTTGTAGCACCTAAATGGCAGTAAAACACTCAAAATCTATACTTTAAAAAAAAGATTCCCCCTGTTTAGATATTGCTTTAAATGTATGTGCTCAACTTTAAATTTTTTAGTAGGAAACAAAATACACTCTTAGATACATAATATTGTCATCAAATAGAGTAAAGAAACAAATGTCTGTTTGCTGCTTTACATGTTTTGATAAAGGTTAAATGTTTTTTAACATTTTTAATACTTTCAGATATGCTTCCCTGTTGCACATTTTAGTCTTGCTTTTTTTATGAAACATTCTTTGTTTGTTTTTCAAGCTCTAGTCAGTGGTAGATTCATTCTCAGTGTATTTTCCTCAGTAAAGCACTGTAATCTAGTTAAAACATTTAGCAGAAAGTAATAAAATGTTACACATTTTAAATTAGTATGAAAGATGAATACAATTTTTGACAATAACATTCCTTTAGCACTTCAGGAAAATATATTGTGTTCCCCTTTACTTTGATTGTGCTGCCAGAGTAAAGCATCTAAAGACAATATCATCTGAAAATAAGTTTGATAATAAGATAATAATGTTGAAATGGCTTAAAAAACTGAAATTGGCTGAGTTACATGTTCAATTTTCCACAACTCATTTTATCTCCAAACGACCGTACGAGTTACATTTTGCTCAAAAGCAACACTTTTGTTATTACTGACAGTTTTACAGATTTAGATTTACTAAAATGTGTTTAAAGGAGTTTTAACAGGCCCTTTTGTTGACTGACATTCTTAATATTGCATGTTGACCAAAAAAAATAACTTGAGTGCAAAAAGACGTTTTTCTAAATCCCCTTTCTCGTGTGTTCCTTCTGTCTTCATAGCTGTGAAGTCCTGAAGCTGAATGATGCAACAGTAGTTTGTATATCAGGACAAGGAGATGAAAAGAAGAGTCCAGCTTTGCAGCACAAAGACTTTAATGGATGAACCACAACTATTGTTTGACATTTCATTATGATACTGTAAATTGGAAATTGACACATACTTTACACTGCCATGATGGTACGTCAGTGGTCTGTACATTTGTTTTAATGAGCTAGATATGACTCTGTGTTTATACTGTAGATGAGGTTTTTTTTTTTTTTTAATGTATTTTACATACAAACAAAAAATAGCAGGCAGATCTATCCAGACAATATCTTTCTTTTGTTGCCAGTCTTCTGTTATGACAACTTTGTACAGGTGATTAAAATGTTTAAAACATGTTGTTGTAATCATTTCTTTGCCTTTTTTACTTGGAATTAAGTATTTCCACCAGTGGCTAATGCCTATAACGCACAGATCCTTCATAGTTCTGCAAAGCGTCCTTTGTGTGCAAGAAACTGGAAGTGTGAGTTTATCTGAAAACACATTGCAGATATTTCCACTGTTAACAGAGAAGTGTCAAACCACAAACACCCTCGCATATAGATCGATGAGGCCCACTACTACCGGTGCTAAGAGAGACACAGAGGTTGAAGAGTGGTTTCATGAGAGAAGCTGACATTCATTTACCACAAGTCTTGTGTTCTCAGTCCGAGTCAAACATCAGACGCCCGGGCTGTTCAGCAGGGATTTCAGCTCCAATATAGGCAATTGAGACAGAGCAGAAAGCCACCCGAAAAAAAACTAAATGTCGGCTAAGACAGTCGCCTAACTTCTTTTACACACTAATATATAGCCCCCTGGTCATTTATATACAGACAGTTAATTTGAAGTATTCAATTCTCAAATGTCTTCTTCGTTAGGTTGATCATGGTGATTTGGTGCGTTTCTCTTTAGAGAACCAGAAGCAAAGGATTGCAGAGAGAAAGACCTCAAGTCCCAACACACAAAGTTCCAGCACCTCTATCTGTCAGAAACACAAACATTATCAAGTATGCATTCGTTTTATATGAGCAAATATATGTAATATCTATTGTTAAGTAAGCAGTTTGAAGTGTGTAATTGTGTCATACTCGTTACATGGTCTTACCCTCAAATGTTGATCATTTTCGGGACTCCAGTGAGCCAGGTCAACACTTATCAGACAAGCCGAAACTACAGCTACAATAATACAGCCGCAGTTGACCACGAGGGACACCTGGAACATTAGCCATACGTTATCTTTTATTTTTTATTAATGACCTAATTGTTGTAAATTGTTTGGATTGAGTTGTACTTACAGGTAGCAACTCTGGATATTTGAACAACAGGTTGGAAACAACTCCAGCAATGAAGAACTGCAGAGGAAAAAAATGCAAAGTCACTATATTGAACACAAGTTAACATTTGATCATTTGTTTTAACAAATTGGAGAGGACCTCATAGTTTTACTATTTGTTTTTTTAACATAAGCAATTTGAGCAGAGACTTACAAGTGCTCCGGTCAGGTGGGAAAGTCTGAACAGCGTGAAAAGGGATTGTTGCATCTCCTGGGTTACTGCAAAAAGTATTCCCACTCCAACACTGAAGATACCGCTCACCATCTGCAGAGACTGACCGAGGCACAGAGACATTGAATTCATGACATCTTATATGTTCGTATGTCACATGCATCATAATTGCCAACATTTTTGTAACATTTATACAGAAAAAAAAACTGAATCTTGTTGCCCAAATGAGATGAATTTTCATCCAAATCATGATAATAGATAAGCATAAGTTAACGCGTTAATTTCGCGTTAACACATCCATTAATTAACGCCGACAATTATTTTATCGCGCGTTAACGCATTTTTAAAATTTATTATATATATTTTTTTTTTTAATTGAAAGACAAGAGACAATACATATACACAACAACAAGAGGATGACAAGAACAGTGGGATAAAAGCCAGCAAACATCCTATAGTCAGTAATTTTAGTGCAGCACAGATCGGGAGCAAGCGAAGGACTTTGAAAGTTAGCGGAAAGATTAACGTGAGACAACATCCGGTTTCTTCAGACGAACATCCGGTTTTCAGAATAAGATGCCAACAAAGTATGAATTATATTCACATTAAGTATAAAACATGCTACCTGCATCTCGTGAACCAAATGTTATTGCCCTTTTGTTCATACAGCAGTACTTTTAAAATAAAAGTGCGCAATACACTACTTTTGAATTCATTATAGAACTTTGCCATAACAATGCGATTAATCCCGATTAATCGCAAAAAATCCATGCGATTAATCGCGATTAAATATTTTAATCGTTGCCCAGCACTACATATAACACAACAGGGATTTTACCTTTGATAATATTGTGCACATATTCACAGTGTTACAAAGACAGGATTTTGTGAGCGTTTGCGCTTAAGAGGTAGAATACCACAAAACCCTCAACCAAGTATTTCCTGTTGCTGCTGTCCAAAGCTGTACAATGAATACAAGTAATTATGGACATCCTCATTTACTGCACCTCTAATGTTTTTGTGATGTCTTGTATAAACTGTGTTGTAAATATGTTAAGACGTGAAATCACACAGGAAGGAATGAGTGAAACAGTGTGAACACTAATGCATGGACTTTGCAAAGTAGAATATTATAATACACAGTAGTTAAATCCTCCATCTTACTTCCTTTTTTTCTATGACTATACACAATATGGTTGCAACTTACTCACACGCTAAATAAAAAGCTTCTACTGGAAAGACTGATTGGTTACAATCATATTATCACATGAAGCTTATCCTATTCCATATATTCCATTTGGATTAGACACTTTTAGAGAAAGCAGTTTGCAGTGTTATATTCTAGTATATTGTTATTTTATTCATGCAGACTGACAGCAGCTCAGGTAGACCATGTTGTCCATGTCTCAGGGTTGGTAGTTCAATCCCCGCCTGCCCCTGATAAGCAAGTCAGCTCCATTAGCAATGTTTGTGTGTATGTAATGTCTTCTCCATTCAAACAAACATATTACACATATCTACAGGGATCATATACATTTTGAGACTAAAACAAGGGGATCTCAAACCCCAACTCAGTGCAATCTATGAAGTACCATGATTCTCTTAATAATAAACTGGGTTAGAGCACAGTTAGTGTACAACACCAACACCCCTGTGACACAATGTTAATAATACAGTACTTCAAAAATATGACCTTATATGAGGGTTTATATATTGGCATGACATCCTGAGCAGTTTTGTCACTCACCCCCAACACAGCAGGTTGTTTCTGCAGCAAGTCATGCAGCGGCCCTTTGTAGTCTGGCATGAGCTCTAAAGCCATGTAATGTCGCATCATAGGCGGCTCTCTCTGCCTGGCTCTACGTGGCGCCTGATCACCTCCATGGATGTCCATGTCGACATCGGCACAGGCCATGCTGTTTCTCTGACCTGGAGGGATAATGGTTTTTAGTGCATCATGTGTGTTCTTTAATTTGTACTGTGATTCCTGTCCTGAGTGACCAGAACGGTAGAAACACCAATGCAATGCCATACAACAGTCCTGTAATACATTTTCCAAAATTGAGATATGCTGACAAAATGAGGTGACGATTCACGTTTTTGAGACACTTGTTGTTGGGTTGTTGGATTACTTTATATTTCAATTTCTTCATTTAATAAGGCCGATGAGATATGAGAGATATATTTCACTATATCACCACAAAGTACAGCTTTGAAAATAATCATGGAACTAAATAAACACCAAAACAATTAAAGGAGTAGTGTCAATAAAATCTAAACATATTAAATAAGGTAATGTTTATTGCAGGGCTTTTGCAGCTCCCAACAGTCTAATTCTCACCACTACAAACTTTCGATCTACTTACATGTAGAATTTTAGTTGCTCGCAAATTCATATGTCATATTGCAAATATATACAACAAAGCTTTTTTTTCAGTGCAATTGAATGAATGAATAGCTTACCTCGTTTGGCTTGAGAAGTATATATTTCGCACTCTGTATTCGCCTCAAACAAGTGCCTCACTCTTGAGGCAAGATTTTCACTTCCCTGCAAATACTTTGAAAGATGAGGTCACCTCATATCTTAACTTCCTCACTCTGCCAGTGGTTTCTACAATATCATCATTTTAAACCCTCAGTGCTATAAGTTCTATGTCACGGTACAGCATTTCTGACTTGACAAATACACTTTTCTTCATATTTATGAAAATAAATAAGTTCAAATATCAATATTTAAATGTTTGCCAAAACATTCCGCACAAAAGCATTTTGTGGGTATATGTGTCTTTGTGTGTGCGTGAGAGAAAGAGAAGTGTGTGTGGGGGGGGGGGGGCTAAAGACACAAAGGCAATTGGTGTGCCAGGTCATTTCCTTGTCAAGCTCATTTTGACAAAGCAGAGAATTTCAGGTCTGAATCAAGATACGAGAAGGAAAATAAGGTACGTTACTGAAAACTTCAACAGCAGATCGTCACAGTGATAAAAACTGCTTCAACATTCTTTGCTTCAATCATGCTCACAGGAGAATGAAGAAGACGTTTGCATGCGATGAATCAATGATCATCACCATTTCAATTGGGAGTCTGAGGGCCGCTGGAGAGGTTCAACTGATGCCGGAGACATTTCAGTGCGTGTACAAAGATTCCTACAAGGTCTTTGCTATCAGAGGGAAACCTAAACCTCTTGGAGTGAGTTGAATTGTTTCTAACACAAGAAGAGTCATCATCTTAGAGTATTTCATAGCTTTATACTTGTATTTTTGTCTTCGACTTGCAGCGTTGTAATGCAGTATTTTTCTCTTTTTTTATTAGGCAGTCCAAGCCATCGCTGGTGTGTTCATTATCACGCTCGGTCTGATCTTTACTAAGACAGAAGACTTCACCAGGTTCTACACTCTACCCAGTGTTCTGGTAAATACTATCACAAAATTACAAATTGAATCAACTCCCAGAGTTAAGTTACCACTCCAGATAACTAGTGAAAATACAATTAGAAACCTATTTTATAGACATCCGCATTGCTTTTTACTTATTGCTTAACAGGGAACTGTATAGATATGCGTCTGTTCTAATACTTCCCTTTGCTTCTGTGACATTTCAATTTCCCTGCATGGGGTCTAAAACATTGATCTTATCTTGTATTCCTTTGATACTAATTTGCATATTTTAACAATATCTTAGTTTGTGGTCTGTGGCATCCTCTCCTATGCAGCTGGACAGGCTCCAAACATGCACGTGGTAAGTTAAAAATGAAGTTTTTGTTGACAAGTGAAGAATCCTCTACAATATGTGAATAAGAGGTGATTTAAAAAAATAATGGCATGTGCTGAATGGATAGTATTATTCTGGATACAGTAGTATAATATTTGTAACGTTTCCAATAGTTGTTTTTTGATGCTATGTTTGTGACCAGATTTTTGTCCAAATTTAGATTGTGATTTAGACACATTAATCCAAACCAAAACTCTTATATCCTAAAAATGAAATAAAGCGTTGGAGAATGCCTTAAAAATATTGATTCCTAGTGTTTGTAAAAATGAAGGGCAGAATAATTAAAACATTGGGGCACGGTAAAAAAGGACTTTAAGTGAGTAGTGAAGTTTCAATTATTTTTGCCATTAAATTAGACTCTATTCTTTGTAAACTTGCACATACAAGTGACTAATTGTTACCAACATATTTGAATTTTAAGAATTTTGTTCTTATGAAATCTAAAAGACACAACATCATCACAGCTTGTCTGATCCTATTTTTGTTTTTTTTACCTAATGATTTTCAGTAACGCCTGCAATGTTCATGCCTCTTTCACCTTCCAGACAAAGCTGTCATTCTCTCTGAACATCGTCAGCTTCTTCTGGTCAATTGCAGCAGTTAGTCTCTGCTTGATCAAGTCTTATGTTGTGCCAGGAGAGAGCTCAGACAATCTCAAGGTATAAGGAAAACAGCATTTATCCTCTCTTAAGTAACCTCTGTTGCTCTCTGAAACACAAAGCAAAGTGTATTTATTCCACCTCTGTCTCAACTTTTAAAGATCCATGAAGGAATCAAGGGACTGATTATGACTCTGCTGGTTGTTGAACAGTTAATCGCCCTTTCCTTGATCTACTGGTTGAGCAAAGCTGTATGCAGACAACATTTCAACACTTTGGTATGTCATTTTTACACACATAGCAACTGCATAAACTGTAAGAGGAATAAGATCATTCATAACTAATAGTAGTAATTCTTTATCTGCAGCCCATCATACTGCTGAAACAAGGAGACTGAGGCTGGATGAAGCTCAAAAAGCCAACAAGCAACCACGTATTGATGGTACTTTTAAATCCTCATTGTATCAAAAGTGCATAGCAGCCAATCAGTGTCATATACCCGTCAATGTACAACATACAAAGAATGTGACATTAGCTATTGTTCTCCTTTCAGAAGTAGCTAAAAAATGTGCATGCATGTGAAAGAGCCGCCTCTTGGATATAGATTAACCTTTATTTTGTTTGTGTAAATCTAGCTGTTTGAATTGCATTCTTTAATACTTTTACAACAGAATCGCCAACAATGACAACAAATCCCAGTTTAAAATGACTGTTTATTTCTAAATTGGAAAACATTGTATTGTCTCAACCTCTGGAAGTTCAGGAAATATTCTAAAACTTCTTGTTTTAGTGTTTTTTCGGTTCCCTGTGAATTAATTTGTAACTTTGTTTTGGACAAATAAAAATAAATATGTAGTTTGTTTTCGTCTTCTTTGTCTTCTTGTGGACCTACTAATCATTTTCCTACTTTGGACAAAACCAGATATACAGCTAAAAAAATAATTACTGGTTTTAAGATTAGCAAATTATGCAAATGATCCCCAAAGTAGTATATCAACATTTGTTGTCAGAAAAATAATATAACACATTTTGTTGTGATGCGTTTGTTAGAAACTGCAAATAAAACGTTCCACGTATTCATAAGAGAGCGTACAATAATCAAGTGGAGAACATAGTGCATAAACCCAGAGAGAAAAATAGAATTCTTAATCTGTGTTTTACAACCAAAAAATGAATAATTGCCATGAAAACTTTAACTTTATCTTTGCCGATAATTTTAAAAATGTTCCTAGAGTACCATCCAATAACCTAATTAGTACTCTAGTACAACACATGCTTTTTGCAACCTTATTTCTCATCATTCTTGTTGTGGATTATGAATAGATGACCGATGGGGAGATTATGTGTAAAATCACTTTTCAAATCCCTTTGCACTTGTTTCCTAAACCATCACAATTAACTTTAACGGTAAATCTTTGGACAAATGAGTGCCCATTTCGGTTCTTGCTGCTGGTAATGAAAAAACGATTGTATCCCCCTGCTGGGAGCGGAGGATGTGTTTTGTCTTTCAGTGACATGTTGCGCCAGGAGCGGCCACGTGGGGGCGATATACACCCACACACACACACACACACACTCACACAAAAAGGTGTAAAGTAAATTCACCTTGCAGTACAGTATGTATTCAAGGAAACATTCATTTGACATTCAAATAACTGTACTGTAGTAACTCTGTTCTAGTTAATAAAACATGTAGGGTTACAACTTTTTTTGAAATACCAAATCACGAGATCACAGATCAAGATGAGTGATTATGTGGTTTGATGGATTTAGAAGTCAGCATCTGTGCTTTGTCATGCTTCAAAGTCCTTGCAATGGAGGTCGCGCTGAAAACAATCAGTACATGAGGAAGGACGGCATGTGAACTCTTCCGCTATTTGGGACACTCCCTACAAAAATGCACACCAATCACAATCAAAAGTGAATACTTTCTCTAAAACCGTCTTCCCCTCTTTTAACTCCTCTGTTGCTCATTCTGCCTTTGCTGTTTAATCATATTTGTACTTTGCCGGTTTGCTACGTAATCCTGTGTATTTATTTTAACCGTTTCCTCTCTGTCTGTAGTAACAGTTTGTGGTGGGTCGCTTTCTCATGTTACTGTGAGGTACTGCCCCGCTGCTGCCTGCTGCGCTGCCTCCTGGTATGGCGTATGTGTACAGCAAGTCCCACACCTTGAGCAAGGATGATGTGAACTACAGAATGCATTTCCGAATGATAAACGAGCAGCAGGTTGAGGATATCACCATAGAGTTCTTCTACAGGCCGCACACGATAACGCTGCTGACATGCACGGTGCTGAGTTTGATGTATTTCGCGTTCGCGAGGTAAGTCGTTCACAGCTAGCGTCGGTTAGCTCGCTGGGTTAGCTTAGTTAGCTCGCGCTCGGCTAACGGCAGCAGTGATGCTGTGACGGTGCTAGGTAACACAGGGAGGTTAGCTAGCTTTGGGCTACTCCAAAGCGGATTGCATCACTGAAACACACTTTACAGTGATTATCTGCTTTAAAAAAAACAAAAATCGAATCCAATGCAAACGCTAATGTCTCATTTTTTAAACTTTGAAGATGTGTGAGGCACATTCACATCACCACAGACATAAAGCAGAGACTAATGTTGGCTGTTTAACATGTACCATAGTGTCACTGGTGATATTTACTGTTTGTTTGGACAATTTGTGTTTCTGTTTCCTGCCTGCAGAGATGATGGAAATCCCAACAATAATCTCTGGGTGGGGCTCATCCTGGTCATCTCCTTCTTTCTTGTCATCAGTGTTTTGGCATTTCCTAACGGTGAGCAAAACATCACCCTGATGTTATTATTGTAGTATGGCCAAGTGTATCTGCATAGCCATTATTACAGTTAGCCGCAAGCATTATTATTAACTGCATACATATAAGACCGCTCATATGCAAAATGTCTTGGCTTATAGGCGATATATGTGAAACAACAACACAAAGAAAAACGTGTTTCTGCATAATGAGAAACCTGTGTCCATTCCATCGCGTGCTGTAGATTATATCTTTGAAATAGTATCTTCATGTGCCTCACTTTAGGACCATTCACTCGACCGCATCCAGCAATATGGCGAATCGTTTTTGGTGAGTATTGATAAAACTCTCGGAGGGTGAGAACAGTTTTAGTTTGGACCTCAGATTTCCCTCCCTAATGTCATGTCTCTCTCTGCCGTTAAGGTCTGAGTGTCCTCTACTTCCTGTTCCTGGTGTTAGTCATCTTCCTCAACTGGAGGCAAGTGAAGCAACTAATGTATTGGTTGGACCCAAACCTGCGTTATGCCAAGAGAGAGGCAGACATAATGGTGAGTGGTACAAATCATTTTCATATTGATTCACATGCACCAGTGGCGTTGCCCAGCAGGAGATGATCAATCATTCTAATGAGGCTATCTGTGCTGCTCTCTGCAGGACTATGCTGTGAATTGCCATGTCATCACCTGGGAGAGAATCCTGAGCCATTTTGACATTTTTGCATTTAGCCATTTCTGGGGCTGGGGTATGAAGGCCCTGCTTATTCGAAGCTATGGCCTCTGTTGGACCATCAGTATTACCTGGGAGCTCACTGAGGTAAGGAAGCACAGACCAGATGAGGCTATCGTACACTAAATATCCCGTAACATCACTTTCTCTTTGGCTCCCTCTGTCCCGGTTTTATTCAGTGGAATTGATGGGTTTTAATAACTTAACATAACCCATATTAAATATAATTCTAGACTGAAAATTTAAGTTTTTAAGACTCTCATCGCCTCCCAATCTCCTGTTCAGCTGTTCTTCATGCATCTGCTGCCTAACTTTGCCGAGTGCTGGTGGGACCAGGTGATTCTGGACATCCTGCTGTGTAATGGAGGAGGCATCTGGCTTGGCATGACTGTCTGTCGCTTTTTGGAGATGAGGACCTACCACTGGGCCAGTATTAAGTATGACCCTACAATCTGGAAATTACCTACAAGTGACAGTTTGTGTTCGTCCTTTAGTCTGTTAGATTTGTTATGTTAGTTTTAACTTGTGATAAGGGAAGTGGGGCCAGTATGGAAAGCCCGGTGTATGCATTTTATCAGCCTTAACTGAGTAATAATAAATCGAATGTGTAGGCAGTAATATATTATCATTTTGATTTAAACTGAAATGTAAATAGGATGAAATCACAAGCTAAAGAATCTTTGTATCTTTTTGCCTTTATGCTTTAATATGTAAGATAATTTTTTATGTGAGCCCAATGAACATAAAAAAGCGTTAGAATAAATAAAACATGTTAACTCAGATGAGTAAGGGCTACCTAATACATCAAGCAATGAGAAACCCTCTTAAGATGCATAAACGGTTGTTTTGAAATATGATCTTACAAGCTCATCAAGGCGGAGTGGACATGAATGATTAATGTGATGGCATTACTTTCATCCTGCTTTGTCTATTGTGCTGCTAACACGATACTTATTGTAAATCTATCTGCAAGTCTTGGTAATCCTTCTCCCGTGCTTCTCACTCAGGGACATCCACACCACCACGGGGAAGATCAAGCGAGCCGCGTTACAGTTCACCCCTGCGAGCTGGACCTACGTACGCTGGCTTGACCCAAAGTCTTCCCTGCAGCGAGTGATGGGCGTCTATCTGTTCATGATCATCTGGCAGGTGGGTCACTGAGAAACCCTCTCACGGTGACTAAGTGCTGACTAGTCGGGGATCATCCGGTGTGCTTTGCGTGCTTAGTCCAGGCTAATCTAATTGCCTCCTCTGCTGTTGAAATCTAAAACCCGTCTCACATGGATCCATATAATGCATGAGCAGCTAATCCCATACGGGTGAAAGATGCGCTAGATTACTTGGGAGCAATTTACGGTGATGAATAAGCAGTGGATGGAGAACTTGAGTAAGCTCCGTTGCGTTCCACTTGAGAGTCAACTGTGGCTGCCAAATTCCTACCCAATGGCAACCATGGTGATGAAAGCTTTCTCCGATCTTTTTTTTTTTTGTGTGGTGATGAAACAACATTGTCCTCCCGTCTCCCTCGCTCAGGCAGTTCCCGACTCTCTCGAGACTTGAAATAGTAATTACCAGTCTTTGAGAATTAGTTGAAGAGATGGGGGTCGTCTCTGCTCTACTCAGCGTGGTGACAGTTTAGCTGCTCTTCACTGGCTTCCACCACAAAGGCTCCAGGCCAAATGAGTGAATAACACGGCAGCAGGCCTCCCTCTCATTATCCAGTATGAGTGTGCCTATGAGAGGGACGAGGGCAGAGTGTCCTCCTAAATGAACTGCTCGCATTGTTGACCATTTGTTAACCCAAGTGTGACTGGCATTGTAGGAGAATCCTTGTTTGTTACCGTCCTGGCTGAACTGGTCGACTTTAACTTCCATGTTCCTGTAACAAGGCACACATTGAGTCTCTGCCAATAGTTCTTACTCACAGCAGACATTTTGACGAGTTAAACACAAGTGTAACTAAAACATTAATAATGACTGCATTCCTTGTATGTGGGCCAGTTGAAGGGCTCTGCTTTCGTGCACACTGTCTCAATAGCACGACGTATTGGCACATGTCAATTAAGCAGAGCTGTCTCTGATATACCTGTGCTTGTCCTGCGATGACATCAAAATATCTGCTATTGGAGAGGTTTATGGTCCCTAAAAACAAAAACGTACCTTTATTCTCCAGCTTTAGGATAACAAGAGCAACACCAATGAGCTCATAGTGTGAGAAATAATCTAGAAGTTAGAATATAGGATGTTAAAACATTTGATTGTGTATACAATACAGCGCTTTAATCTACAGGCACCATTTAACAGTTTCATGGAAAACCTGTTGTTAATATTTTTGGTGCTAAGTGTCATAAAGCCTGTAAAAGTACAGGTATAACTAATATAAAATGAACGATAGCAGAGTTCCATTTAGCTGCTTCAGTTTCAGGGTCCTGGTATTGTGCATGGTGGTCATCTCAAACTCGTAGCTTAGGGACAATTGAATAAAACCGAGCCATTGTTAATGTTATGTGCTCTTCCTACTATGACAAGTCAAAATGTCTGCTGGGAGAAAGGCCTTTGAAAGTCCATAAGTAGTAGAATAGTGACAGCTTTTATTGTGTTTGCACTGAACGCTAGCACACTGGATTTGCAGCTTTGAGGGTGTTTAAGGGCATTTACGTCCATATTTGGTGAACATAGAAACTGTTCATGCGTACATTAATCTTACAACAATACAGCAGCATAAAGCCAAAGCAACCAGTAGGTTATTAGGGCCAAACGGTGCAATGTTCCCAACCGTCTAACACGGTCACCTGACCATAAACCAACTCGCCATGTGTTACAGTGCCGAACACCAGATCTGAATGCTTTATTTATTCTCAGTGATGTGCTATATTACACATGAAGATCTTTATTCTCTTCTACCCGTTTCCCCTCTTTGTCCACAGCTGACAGAGTTGAACACATTCTTCCTCAAGCACATTTTCATCTTTCCTGCAAGCCATGCTCTTAGCTGGTGTCGGATCCTGTTCGTCGGTATCATCACAGCTCCCACAGTGAGGTAAAAAGACAACTTTATTAGTAAGGAAATGAGCCCTAGAAACAGCACATGGTCACATGGTTTTTTTTCTTCAGTTCCTTGTTTTGACAAAGATTAACGGTTAGGAAAGTAACTGAGTAGAACTGCAGTTAGAATTTTCTAATAATATCGTTTGTTTTTTGCTCCAGGCAGTATTATGCGTACCTCACAGACACACAGTGCAAGAGGGTTGGGACCCAGTGCTGGGTGTTTGGGTAAGTGAAGCCTAAATTGTAGCCCTTACAAAACTAATTTTATTTCTCTCAGGTAAAAGCCACATCAGGGGTTTTTTTCCAGTTAAATTGAAAGTTTACGTAAGATCAGAGAATTCATTTGTTGGTGTTTTTCTCTCCTCGTTCACAGGGCAATAGCCTTTCTGGAGGCCTTGGCATGTATTAAGTTTGGACAGGACTTGTTCTCAAAAACGCAGATCCTCTATGTGATCCTCTGGCTGCTGTGTTTGGTAAGGTCAGGATCACAGCAAACACACCATCAATTTTCACACATATGTCTTTCAACATAACAAAAAAACCAGTTGAACAGCAAAACCTTCTGTGCTGTAAGTTATTGATTATGTGTTTTCCATGAATCATTAAGCAGCCTCTGTTATGTGTGATCTGTTTTTAGGCCTTCATTACATTCCTCTGCCTGTTTGGAATGGTGTGGTGTGCTGAAAATTATGGTCCAAGAGAAACGGTATGTCTACAGTGTTTTTTTTTGTAAAGTTTGTCATATAGTTCATAACAAAAGGTAACTAATATTGGTCTCAGTTTAAATCTTGAATCTTGTCAGAGATGCATGTTGTTTAAGTAACCTGTAAACCCTAAGGCAATTGGGGTTTATGCACCTGCACAAGTGTTAAAATATGATCCCCCACCCTTTTGGATATGTTTATGTAAATATGGTTTACATTTTACATGTTGATCTCATGTGGAAATGAGCACCACTTTCACAGCAATCTTAGGTCGACGTATCACGCTCATGATGGTCAGAATAAACTGAAGTCATTCATTAAAGCCGGAGTGCGGATCTTTTATCTGTGAGAGTAATTACCGTATGGGAGAGACCATGCAGACGAAGCAGCAGCTAGGAGTATTGGGGAAGCTAAGTTTCTGGAGCTGATGCTCTTGATGAAAACAAAACTCAGCCTTCGGGATTAAAGTAAAAAAATTGCCCGGGAAGACTTAAAGAAAGCACTTCCGACATCGACCCCATAACTCCGATATACAGCGGAATACAGAGAGCTTTCCCTGTCGATGATCGGCTACATCAGCGTCATGTGAACTTGTTTGGCCAGAGCTTGAATGTAACATATGTTGATTTTAATGGAAAAGACCAGCACCCCAGCTGTAATGCTGCCTGTGAGAAGAACACTCCTTGATATCACTACTCAGTACCTGTTGCATTACTTAAATATGTCACAAGTGAGCTGCACCAATTCTTGACACCTATGTCCGAATGGCGAGAAGCCATTTCTTCAACAGAAAGGCGAAGCCAGCAATGTCGCGTTTTCCATATCTAAAGAATCAGCTGGCGTGCTCTTGAGGACCCTCTGTAAATATAGGCTTTCAGACCTTTCCCCCCTTTAAAGGTTATCCCTCCGTGTACCATGGAAGCTGTTCATGGTCAGTTAGCTGCTATATGTTCCCTGTCCAGTCAATGGTATGTGTGTCATGTGTCTGAATCTCTTCTCCTGTCACAGAGCCTCTCAGAATGTGAAGACAGTAATTACCCTGAATCTGCTGACCATGTGTCAGAAGTATTTAAAGGTACAGTGACTTTACTATGATTCACCAACTACATAAAAAGGCTCATAAAAAGACATTAATCTTCATCTTTAATCTTGTAAAGGGCTGACCTCAAGTGTTTGGAATGGTGTTTTACTCATACTGCAAAGTTCAGTTCCTTTATTTTATGAACTCGTTCCGCAGAGTTTGGTGTTTCAGAAGACACGGATGTGGACGACGACAGCCCTACAACCCGACGCAGAGGGATGGGCTCTGGAAAGACCAAATCCATCAATGGCCTGGACAGCCAGTAGGAGTCGGAGTTGGATCCAGAGGCTGGTGTGCGACTCCTGAACTCACTCCAGGGAGCCAGGTGTGAAGGATCACAGGTTGAAAAAAAAAAAAAAAAAGGGGGTAAAGATGCAACCACTTCCTGGTGTAATTAAAGTCTAGAACGCTCCCATCGACAGTAGAGGGAGTGGAGACAGGAGAGGCTAAGCGGATGAACAGGCCCATGCAGTGTTGTTAGGAGTGCACAGAGGCTTGGACCAGAGAGATGCACACTTAACTGTGTGCTGTAGTCATAAAAAAACTCCTAAACCACTGTTCACAGTGTGTGTGAAGAGTGAGAGAGAGAGAGAGGGAGGGAAAGCGTGGTTGTGTGTTCGTGAGAAAGAGGTGGCAATAAAAACTGCCGATTTATAGATATGACTGCATGATCATTATAGCTGATGAACTATAATTTCCAATTATTCTACGATACAGTATATCATCGATGGACAATGTACATTTGACTGGTTTACACCAGTCTTAACTCGTACGTTGGTTCAACACATTTTTAATGTTAAAAGCCATTCTGTAGACTTTATCACATTTGTTTATAGCACAGAGGCTACGGTCTTTTTATTAGCCTCTGCGTCTATTGTCTATTTACATCATAGGTGTTCAGTGTTTTCGTGTTTATAACTTGAATGTGGGCAGGAGTTCAATGCAACACGGCTTTAGCTCGGTAGGATCATCGACCGAGGATTGTGTTTGGCCTGGAACAAAGCAAAGCACACAGTTTAAGCACTTTTCAGAATATTTTCTTGCAAATACTGTACATTTTGTAACGCTTGAGTATTTTGTGAATCATTGTGACTTTGAGTGATTTTACTCTCCCTGTCCATCTGTGGCTGCTATCTTTTTTTTTACTGTACTGATAACAGAGGGCAATTATTCAAATTCCTGCATGTGTTGTCAGGTTCTACCTGTCTGAGTGCAGGTGTGTTTTTGTTTAACTGTCGACCTTATTGTTATGGCATATATTGCATTTGCATGGCTGTGTCAAATGAAGTGTTTTAGTAAGAAAAGAGTAGTCAAGAGATCTTCGTATGACACCACACACCAGGGCGCTAGTATTGTTGGTCTTTCACTGTCATCGAAACATTTTAATTCGCCCCTTGTGCCTGTTTGCGTGTTTTTTTTATTCTCAGTTTGTATTACGACTAAATGTGTGCTTTTTGTGTTTTGATTCTTCTGCTTTAAGTGCTTTCTTGAGCGTTTTATTTTCATTTGCTCTGTCGGCATCATCTCGGGACAGATATATCCCTCACAGTCCTCGACATCCAGACGTCGACCTCTGTGGAATGGACCAGGCTCCCCTGCTACAGCAGACACAATCAATGCTACATTGTCTCTGGATTTAGATGTCATTTGCCAAAAAACTGTTCTGATTTTAAAAAAAAAAAAAAAAAAAAAGTCTTCTTTTTCACTGTGAAACAATAAAACATAATAAAATCTTTTACATTTACTCTTTGAGTTATTATTGGAGGTATTTGTCTTTTTTTGGTTTTTGAAAAGGAGCAGCAGCACTACACATACACCCTACTTTCAAACAATTATGCCTTTATTACTCTATGAATAAATTATTGCATCCACAGGAGTAGGAGGCCGTTTGAATACTTAACAATAGGAAGTCATGAATGACCTTGCTCAACCCCTGAAGAGCGCCCTGCAGCAGCAGAGGAGCGCTGGATTGGCTGACTATAGAACTGCCTGTCTCGGATCAGATTTCACTCCGTCTGCAAACCATGAAACTCACAGACTGAAATAGCTGCCTCGTGCTGACCTATAACATGTTTTTGAAGGTAGGGCTGATGTTCCCTTTGAAAAGAGCAGCAAAGAATGTTGTATACAGTCGAAAACATGAACAGTAGTAAGGTATAGAACATCCGAAAGAAAAAGCCTGACATATTCAGGCACACTCACGCCATGTAACAGCTGATCCTGGCTTTAAATCGAGCCAAATACCTTCATATTATACCACTTAATATACATATAAAAGAAGGAATTCAGTATATTTTCTGCTACTTTCTCAGGTGGGGGGGGCCTGTAAACAATGTTTCCAACATGTGTATTAGCTCATTTCCAATAGAGGGCAGCAGAGAGCCTCAGTGGTGTGCAAAATGTCACGTGACCCTTTGGGCCTAAAGCACAGGACATGAGTGTGTTGACAAAATGTTCCATGCTCTGCCTCCATATCCCCCCCGTCATCATTCTCTCCATCTCATTTAGATCAGTCTTTCTATTTATGTTTTCCTGAACCTCCTGCAGCCTGCATCAGCTGACTGGTCTGTCTCACCAGGGTTACAGAACATCGGATATTTCAGTCATGGCCAAGAGTCCTGGTGCCCCGAGTCGTGGCAACCTGAGCCCTGAGGGGATCGTGAGAGAGATCCAGATCAACTTGCTGGAGTGTAAAGTCTGCTTCGAGAAGTTCAGCACTCAGCAGAAGGAGCACAAACCGCAGAACCTTTCCTGTGGCCATGTACTCTGTCTGGAATGCATCAGGGCTCTGTCCCACCCTCTCCTGAGGAAGCTGGAGTGCCCGTTCTGTCGACAGCTGTGCAGTGTTGACAGCACCTCCCACTGCCAGGCTCTTAGTGACCTGCAGGAGCTGCTGTTGTCCCAGACTCCCCCGTCTTCTACTCCTCCTCACAGGGCAAACGCAGGCCTTGGCTTGGCCACAAGTCTGACATCCACAGCTCTGCACCTCTGCACAGCCTTTGGAGGGTGGGGGACTCTTATCAATCCCACTGGCATAGCCGTTTTGGGATCGTCAGGGACGATAGTGGTGGTGCATGATGGAGAGCAGAGGGTGGCGGTGTTCAGTCCACAGGGCAGGAAGCTGCACAGTTTTGGGAGAAGAGGACAAGGCAGTGGGGAGATCTGTTTCCCAGTGGATGTGGCGGTGACTCCCTGTGGTCACGTGGTGGTTACTGATGCAGGGGACAAAGCTGTAAAGGTTTTCACCTCCAGGGGTAACCATGTTTTGACGGTCAAAGATTCCCTCCAGATGCCCTGGGGTGTGGACACAAACAGCTTTGGGCACATCCTGGTCTCAGACATCCAGGTCGGCACGCTGTCCCAGGTAAAAGTGGACTATACTCGCGGTCTCGCTCTAGAGCATCAAACAGCCATTGCGGACCTGCAGCATCCAAAAGCGGTGGCCTGCTGTCGGGTGACTGGGAACACTGCAGTGATGGAGCATTTACTTGATGACACATGTTCACCAGGGAGGAACCAACACACAAGGCTGAGAGTGTTTACTGAAGACTTCCACCTCCTTTATCAGACTGACAGTTTCAGCCTGACCCTGCTGAACTCAGTGAGGCTCAACATGACGGGCGTGGCCTTTGACAGAGATGGAGATGTGATTGTGATTGACTCCAATCAGGGGATGATCTGGAGTTTGGGGAAGCTCCAGAATGGCCCAGCCCTGACCCCACTTGTTGGAGACCACCTCATCTACCCAGTTGGACTTGTGTCACTGAACAACACCCTCGTCGTTCTGGACAGTGGAGACCATGCGGTGAAGATTTATTCCGCTAAATCTGATGCTGGGCCCATGATATAGCTCACATATGATGAACAGGCCGTATCCTGTGAAATGTAGCTTTCATATTATGAAACGAAGAGGTGACCTGGCTATGCTATTTCAGTAAATATTAAGTAAAGTTTTACATTGAAAATGATGAATGTGATTATAATCAAATGAGTGCTATTAGCTATTGTATGCTTTGTTTTGCATATAAAATCACCGTATAGGCAATTTCTTTTGACAATTATGCAATAATTAAAGGATTAAAAGTGGCATAAACTATATTTTTGTAATATTTGCTGTTTTCTTGTGAAATACTGAATAATTTCACCTTTTTTTCTGTGTTAAAAAAATGATGAGGGGTCGAACAAATGGAAATTTCTTCATTTTAATGGGGTCACAATTCAAAAGATAGGAAACTACTGTTAGCCGCATCTACACTCAATTACACTCAAAGATATTTAATTATTTTTTTATTTTTTGGGGGGGTCAAAATTATATTAGCTGTGGTGAGGTGTGTGTGCGATATCTATGATAAAATTATAAAATAATTAAAGTAGTGTGTGTGTGTGTGTGTGTGTGTGTGTGTGTGTGTGTCAAAGATAGGGCGAAATATACATGGTTATTGTGACTGTTTAAAATTCCTTTTATACTAATCCCTCTGCTCTTCATTCCTACCTCTAAATCGTCTTTAAATGATGCTTATCGTAGGTGCGCATAAATTAACTTCTCAGACAGCCTCACATTTCTCGTCCACTGGTTCCTCCCCGATAAGCTGCGCGGTGCGTAAATCCTTTCCCCCTCTTTGGCACAGCCGTCTCCAGTCTGCCAGAGGATAGCAGTCGTGCTCCCAGTGGAAGATGGCGGTGGGGATGCTGTCTGGGGCTGGAGCAGAATGCTGGATTTGCACAAAAAGCGAACCCGGATGGATATAAAGGGAAAAAAATGAACATATCCCCATCTCTTGTCCTCGAGCTCTGGACTCTTTTGGGCTTGTTTATCTAGAGTCTGCTGCCTTTTTTCTGGCAGAAATCCGGTGTTGTCGGGGATTCACCGACTACATCGATAGCTCGGCGCATAGACAGGGTGGGAGTGAAAAGTGGACGAAAATGTCGGATTCAAAGGTAAAAGTTGCCGTGAGAGTTCGGCCCATGAACCGAAGGGGTAAGTGTCAAAACGACGATTTCTTTTTTTGCAACCTCGCATGTCTGTCTCCTCGGATTCATGCCACATTATCATAAAGTTTGGATTTCTTCGCCATTGCGGCTTTCAGCTCGACTTATGAGCTTGAAGTCGGACTTGAGTCGAGTTTGGAGACGGTCAAAGTGGCGAGGGTTGTTACTCTCCACACCCTCGCATTCTGCTGTACTTCACTCCAACAAACTTCTCTCCACAGAAATCGAACTGAAAACAAAATGTGTCTTGGATATGGAGGACAACCAAACAGTGCTGCACCCACCACCCTCGAATGCAAAAGGAGACAACAGGTAAACAAAGCTGAAATACTGCCAAATGTTTCCAATTGCGAATGAATATAGATATAATACAGTATATAGCAAGCAGTACAGTGCGGGCAGCTTGTTTAATGAGTCTTTTGCATTGCTGTGCTTAGTTTGAGTGCTATAGAGTAAAAAAAAAAAAAAGCACTTTCTTTGCAAAAACCTTCTCCCATCCTGGTTGTAAATACAGTAACAATAACATTCTAGGTTATCATATAATCCAGTGTGTCCCTATGTAGCTCAAATGTCTGAAAATACATCAGCACATACATGATCCTGATGCAGACCGGTGAGGATTTGATTTGTAAACTTTTATCTTGAATTCAAACCTTTTTATTTTTCCATAAATGCCAGTAAATGAATGCAGCAGACAAATGCTGCACTGCTGCTGAGGACATGGTGTCTGTCACCCACCTGCTTGCAACATGATATTTTGTTATGCAATTCACATGCACTTAAAAATACTACTCACCTCAGCATAATAATATTACCCTCATTCTGTATATTTCATATCTGATGTTGAGTCTCAAGACCAGGGGAGGTGGTTGAATGGCTGTTAGACTGAACAGATTAATGTCGAGCCTCAGGCTATCAGCGGAGTCAGAACTAATTTAACTTATGTAGCGTTCAAAGTGGTATTAGACCATGCTGTGTCTTCTGGCAGGATGCTGCACTCTTTTGTCAGGCGTTTATATGGGGAAATAGTTGAGAAAAGCTGTGACAAAAGGAAAAGCTAAGCATCCCTTAACGCTTCACACTTCGCCTGAAGTGAAGGTCAGCAGTTTCTTGCTTGTCATCACGACATGCTTTCAGATTGTAATGAGGAGATCGCACAACATCTAAGGCTAATGAGGGTATTTCACCCTTTGCAGTTGAAGTTGTTTGCGACAATTGTTTTCGCTTGGTTTGATTGCTCTTCTTCTTGGTGTCACACGTGATTAAACAGCTGACCTGAATACCCACAGGCACAAATAAATCTAAAAGGAAGAAGACTATTTTGTTTTTTTCCTTTTGATTTATCTCTGAAATCGTGTGAACTCCTTCGGCTACAGTAAAAGTCCACAGCATGACAGCCACAAATGAAGTCATAGAAGGCAAATACATGCTACATTCAAGGCTTTTCTCACGCCCTGCATCCAGTCGAGTTAAAGTGTCACACTTTCTCTGCTGTTATGTACCCAACAGTCAGCATTAAATGGTAATGAGCTTGCTCCCGCAGCAGCTTGGGTCCACGCATTAACCTGTATTTAAGGCAATTATCAGAACAGAAATTGCCACACAATGGTGGCGTTCCAGGCAATTAAACAAATCCCGCTCAAAACTAACATACTGTATGTTGGAACGGGATACACAAAGCTGTCGTGGGTGAGAGGTCAGAGGAGAGTACAGAGATTTAGAGTGACTACATCTGCAATTTAGAGTGGTGCAGGTCCTTAAACCTGGAAATGAGTCAGCATTTTTGCACTCGGTTTCCTCTTCTCAAAGTCGATGGGTTTTTGGTTAGATGAGTGAAATAAGGTCTTTGGTTAACCCAAGCTTGAGAAATTTTAACATTTTGTTCTATGATATAAAATACTACAGTAAATACCACTCTTGTGAATTTGGAAGCTTTTATGTATCTTAAAAAAGGCGGTTGCAAACATTTGCTGAATTAAATTGGTCATCACGCCGTCTAGCCCGACTAGTGGTGGTGACTGCATTTTTTGTTCTGACAGAATCAGAAACGTTTTATTGCGAAGTACGTTACACATACAAGGAATTTGGCTTGGTGATTGGTGCATAACAATAAACACGGTGCAATAGTTTGAATAATTTAAAATATGAATATTTACAATAACATGGTAAACAAACAAATAACAGTTTGTTAAAACAAGTATGTTAATAAAGTGTCAAGTGTATATTAATAGAGAAGAGTTGAGCAAGGGTGTGTAACTGTAAGAAATTGTCCTGGGAATTGTTTCAGAGTTAGTGGGGGTCCGGGCTTTATTGATGAACCCAACTGCAGATGGAAAGAAACTGTTTTTGTTGGCGTGAGGTCTTGGTCCTGATGGTCCGCGACCGTGGTGTAGTTGGTTTATAGCCAAATGTTAGCTTTTTACTTCTGTCCATTGCATTTACGTTTCAAAAATCATAAAAGTGGTGATTACATGTAAAGATTATCTTGTTGACCAAAAGGTAACATCAACTTGTGTTTGCCACAGAGCTTATTTTCTGCAATTATCCAAATTCAACAGAAAAATCCCATTGGCTTATTGTAGTGGGAACCAGAGCGATGCTAACTTCTGGGCTGGCCTACAAAAATATACCTTTAGCACTCTATATCCTTTCTTTCATTATATTTCTATGTTTGTTTATGAGCAAAAATAAATATCTGTTTATTGTGATGATAATAATAACGCACATGTATCTTTCAGGACCTTCGCCTTGCTCAGAGGCTGTCCGTCAGAGAGACCTTTAGAAACAGCAATCTCCTGGACTAATCTGATAACCCATTGGCAACATATAACTTTCACCAGGTCTAATGTAAGGAAAAGGTGCAATGCATACCAATGTTAGCATTTAGTTCTTAGAATAAAACAGTATGAACATGAAAACATCAGTATGTAAGCCTGTCTTTCAGTACCTTCGCCTCACTTCGAGGTCCTTACCATAATAACACTACTTTAGGTGCAACATAATTCGAAAAGACAGCGGCTGACGTTACCACGGTTTTGCATCTTCAGTTTCTAATGACCAGCCAAACCAGTGGTTAGACGCACGAGTTACCACCTTGATCGTATGAATAGTTGCCTTCTTATTTCCTCTCAGTTACAATTGCCGGCTTATCATTGGCCAGATCAGTACCCGTCTTCTGCGAGATGCTCTGTAGCCTCCGCTGACTTCTCAGTCTTGATTTTGTCTGTTCAGTCTGTGCCATATTCCACCGCTACCTGTTGCTATGTTGTTGTGTGAGACACAACCACGTTTCTCGTTCAGGGGAAGTTTCCAGGTTTGATTTCGATCTCGTATCAGTCTTAAATGTTTTCAACTGCTGTTGGATTCACTCTTAACTGTTTTTTTTTTTTTTATCCACGGTCATTTTTTTTTTGTTCTGCCAAACCTACGTATATTCAAAATTATTGTAATTGTAATTCTTATTGTAGTACATTGTGTAACTGTAAAGTGACTTCAGTTCAGTTTGGTTTTATTATGTCACATTTACTTTCTATGGTGTAGTCCAGCCATATAATTTCTTGCTGTGTGTGTGTGTGTGTGTGTGTGTGTGTGTGTGTGTGTGTGTGTGTTGGGTCTCTGTGTTTAGACTGCCATGGTTTTCTTAAACCATATAATTTTCCTCTCGGCTTCTTGTGGAGCTGCAGAAGGGGATACCCTGATCACGAAGAGTTTGCCTTGTTTTGAAGACACCTGTTCCTGTGTGTCAGATTTAGTGGGTATTAGCATGCCAAATATGGCTGCAGGGCCAGAATCATGGGAACTTATTCTCTCTCACGGGAATGCTCAGGCACAGCCTCAAAGAGTAGACAGCAGTAATAGGTTTTACTTAACAATGTTCAGATTTCAGTGAAACTGTTTTTACCCCCAAAGTTGAGCAATACCTAAAAATACGAAATATGGCTCTCGTGTGATGAGATGCAAAATGAAGTCTCTCGTGGTTGAACTTGGAGCCACTTTCATGTTGAATAATCAGTTAGACATTGAAAATTTTCCAAATTCTGTGTGAATTTTAATCAGGTTTTGCAGAGACCGCACAGAGCACGAAAACATGCAAGTCACCTAAAGAATTTGAAGGAATATAAGGGCTTTCTTTTGATGGCTAAGCCTCATTCTTTGCACCGCCGAGCATTATAGCAACACTCGTGACCCCACAGCCCCCTCTCCTATTTCCCTGAAGAATGAACAATAATCTCAGTGGTGGGCAAATGAAACATGAATGGTGACTCCAGGGCAACAGGTGAAGTTTCCCAAGTTTAATCTTTCATCTACCTGTTGAGTTGGCACATATGGCATATTTGAAATAGGAATCTGGGAGAGTAGTTTTGTTTTCACGCGCCAGTCTAGTCTCCTTTGGGGTTTGGACACAATGAAGGTGGGGGTGGAGAGGCAGAGAAATACCTGAGGCTGCTGTCTGCAAAGGGATTGAGTGGTGGAACATCATGACAAGAAAATACCCTTTGACTCACACAAAGGGGCCATATTACATCGACCATGCCTCAGCATGTCCACCAACATGCAGCAATCAAGCCTGGGAAAGGCGTGTTTATATGAACCCTCCTTTTTCTGCATATTTCATTCTAAAAATAACGAGCTGTGCTAAAAGCCAAAAGCTAACTTTTTAGGCAGGCAGACGGGACTTTGGTTTGTATCAGAAAAATATATTTTATTTTCCTCTCATTGTGGCAAACTAAAACATCTAGGTTTTAAATCCATGTCTCTAATAATCTAATTTGGGAAGTATGTTCAGAGATAGCTGTGTGGATAGGTCCTCCATGTCTTTGTCTCCCAACCTTAAAGGTAGAAAACAAAAAGTAAATTGAAATGCTGGTGTTTAAAGGAAATGGTTGGAAATTTCAGGAAATATGCTCATTTGCTTTTTGACAGACAATTGGATGAGAAGATTGATACCCCTCTTATATTATGCTAAATATGAAGCTGTGGATGGTTAGCTTAGCATTAAGACTGGAAAATGTAAAAAGCTGGCCAGCCTCTGTCTGTCTAAAGGTAAAAAATAACATGTGTTCAGTCCGTGCAATAACAGAAGTGTAACAATTATAATTCACTGTTTCATGGTCAGTATGAGCCGTACAAATTCTTGGCTGGGAGAAGTTGCCAGACAACCAGCGGAGACTACTCCCAGCTAGGAAACAATTCAGCACATATCTGTAAAATGGCAAATTCTTATTTTTACACTTGTACAGATTCAAGCAAGCTATTTAAAACATGTTAAACAGTGAGCTTGAGAGGTGCTAGTAGGACATTTTTCTGTTTCT